CAAAACAGACCAAAATAACGATGTGGCTGATGTGGCGATTTTCTTTCACACTTATTAACTTTTGCTTTTTGAAATGGGGTTTAATGCAGAGCTGAGTGATCACAGTTTTGCACCGTCACACAAGATGTAGGGCAAAAGTGTTACTACAAAATGTCAAGAATGAAGAAAGCCAATTTGGTTTTTTTTGGAAACAATACAGATTTATTTTTAGAATTCAGCTCTTCCAATTTACTGGTTGGATTTTTTTTCTTTATTAGCTGAGATACTGTTTGACAAAATAAGGCTGTGGCAGCAGTAACTTTTGAATGATTTTTCATAAAATCTGAAATCTCAGTTGACTACAAATGTCTTGCAAGACTTCGAAACCACATGATTGAATCAGATCTGAAATGACATCAGTGCAGTGGTCGCATCTTGAGCATAGACTGAAAGAAGACAGACAATACTAACTAGCTCAATGAAGCCCAACAGGGAAGTGCTCGTGTATTTAGTTTGACATTGTCTTTCTAAAACCGGATACGAGCCATAAGGATTGGCCAATTGGATGCCTTCATTGCGCTAGCTTCCCCTAGCAACGATGTTAGCAACACCTGAGCAGAGTATTATATAAATATTACATGCTTCTTATAAGCATGTAATATTTAAATGGTGAAATTAAATACAAACTTCGTCTTGCAATGTGTTACCCAGGTACTAGTATATTTTAAGTTAACTAGTATTTTAAGTTAACTAGTATACTATACTAGTACTAGTATATATTAAGTTTACTCTTGTGGCACATTTAGATCATCTCTGCACTCTTCATAACTCTATACCCGGCTCACACAATCCTTCTCGGGCTGAGCTTATCGCGATGGCCCTCTGGAGCCGGATCACTGGAAAGAGTCAAGGCATCGCAAAGTGGAAGCTTGCGCCGGTATGGGATCACTTTCAAGTATCTCCAGCAGCACACAGCGGGGTCACCCTCATGCACTGTGCTCCCTGGGCGAATGCTGCCTTTTTTCCATCCTCCCAAGTCCTCAAGTACCCCGCCAGGCTTTGTTGCATAGGCTACAGTAAAGCAGGGCAGATTTTTCAAAAGGTGCATGAATACTTTATGAGCCGTGGTCTATTGTGCTGCTATGTAACTCAATTATAACCGTCAAGGGAGAGATGGCTTTGAAGTGCACTCAAATCATCACTTGCCCATTTTTTTTTTATTATTTTTGACTCTGTCACACATTTCAGTTCCAGACATATTTTTTTGTGAATAGATTTTGGGTATAGGGTTTCGATATTAGTTCATAATATTGTCAGTATTTGTACTTGCCTTTAAAACTCAAACTTGTTGAGTTGAGCAGCCACACCGTGGCATAAAAGTAAAATGGCAGAATTTATTTGTTATTTGCGTGTGAGGAAAATTATCAGGTAGGGAGTAAACTATTTATGATCTCCTTTTCTCGCATCATTGGAGATGGGAATAAAATGAGGGATAGGGAGTTGATAGATGGGTAGAAATGAGAGCGCACCCTTGGCACCATGTCAGCTCTACGTACACACGCACTTCTCCAAATGGTGTGAGTGAATTCAATACTCCGGGATGGAGCACTACAACACACACACACACATGCATAGACACCACTAGCATTCAGAGAGCAATGAAGTTGTCTGCTCAGATCGCAATCGCTTGCTCAGATGCTAACCTCTCCCTCTTTCCCTTCACTACGAATCCCTTCTGTGGTTTCCGGTTTCAGGAGCAGTTCTGGGTGTGTAGTCGGACACAAAGCTGCATGAGGCGGCTCAGTCTTACCGGGCTGCCTCAGATCCCTGCTAATGTGTGAGCACATTGTGTATCTCTGTTTACTGCCCCTATGGAAGGAAAATATTGCTATTTAAACACAGACAGTCTAGATTAGTGCAGACAGGTCTGACGCTGGCCCACATATACGAGTTTGGAATTATGGAGAGCTAAGTTAGAAAAGGGATACAATTGCAATCACTTTAGAAATAGACAATGGTCAAATATCTTTTAAAAGTAGACTTTCAAAGATTATTTTGAGAAATGGGAGAGGCTACTCTTATCCCCACTCCTCTGAGTACAAGTTTGGGGTGCACAGTGGTGCAGTGGTTAGCACTTGTGCTTCACAGCAAAAAGGTCCTGGGTTCCATTCCACCTTCAGATGGGGCCTTTCTGTGTGGAGTTTCCATGTTCTTCTCATGTCTGCATAGGTTTCTTCCGGGTGCTCCGGTTTCCTCTACCACTGGAAACAATAGGAACAAATACTTCTACTCCATACCTTTTGGAAGGGATGTTTTCTTACTAGTATTTCTTGGTCTATATAAAACTTCTGATTCATTTTTCATGCAATACATTTTTATGATCTTTCGTTGCTTATCCTCAGCACAACTTTAAACTTGCGTGGGTGCGGAATAAGATCATTCCCGCGGCCCATCGAGGGTCTTTTGGCAGCAAACAAAAACGCAATCATTTACCCACACATTAACTGCGGCCTATTAAGAGGAGACTCCTGACATCCCCGGCTTTGTTAATTATGGTGAGTTATCGATCTGCCAAATGTGTCTACTTCTGGATAACGTGCTCAATTGTTGGCTCTGGAAACACGGGCGATATATGAGTCAATATGAGATGACTAAATCAGCTTTTTTCTTGGCCGGCGTACACGTTTGGCAGACCTGCCCCAGACAAGTGCACTGTTGTGTCTTTTATTCATGTCTTTGTCCCATGTCTTCCGGATTGGGCAAATGTCCCAGGGAGGGCTGAGGGAGGGGGGCGGGTGAGAGAGAGGGGGGTGCCCTTCTTTACAGTGTCCCTTGGGCGCTGACACCAGACACTCCCTCGTCCCACTTCCTCATCCCTGCCTGCCACCAGACACATCACAAGAGCCCAATGCAATGAAGACGAATAGAGCAAATACCCAAATAATGTATTTGTTTGTTTGTGGGTGATCATTTTTTAATATGGTTCTGTTAGGGCATAGTAGACTAACGGTAGACTTTCTTGGTTCATCACAATGTTGCTTTTTGGTTAAAGATTAAAATGGCCAAAGGATTGTGTAGAGCTTTTGACAAGCCTTTCCTAAAAGCTCTGCTCAATGCAAGAAGAATATTAAAGAATACCAAAATCAAGAAACGTTTAGAAAACAGTTATTGTCCAAATGTTTTGGACAATAACAAATTAGTATAATTATGTTGACAGTTTTACCATGTATCCCTAATAGTCAAGTTTATACTTCTCCCTCGAAATGAGCCCCTCCATTGTGCCTCATAACCGCCAACTGACCCCATTTTGTGGCCTCCTGTGACCCAGTGTCCCCCAAAGGCCCTTTATCCACACCCCCTTTCCTTGTTCCCCGCCGAATACACGCGCACACTGTACCGCCATTCCCAAACCCCACACACATGCACACGCACACAAACTTCCCGATTATCTCAGTGTAGCAGGCTGCTGTTTTGTGCCCTGATTAAGGGAGCAGCATGTGGTCCGCACACAAGTAGACCCATGCAAACGCCGCCGTTGGCCTAACGCTAACATTACGTGCTTAATCATTTACGTCTGGGTAGACAGGGGCACAATGGCTTGAGAGGAGGTGGGCCTGTGTGTGTGTGTGTGTGTGTGTGTGTGTATGTATGTGTGTGTGTATATGTGTTTTTATCAGTGCAGCAGATGCATCGAGGCGTGCACACACATGCTGCCAAGATAACGACCCGGTGCCGCTCAGTGTGGCACAGGGAAGACATGCTTTGGGCACTGTTGAAAAGGAGCATCTCGACTTTATGAAGAGACTAGACTGTGGTGTACTGTTGGGTAGCAATAGAAATAGGGTTCTGAAAATCAGATCTTACTAAAACTAGTCTAGATACTATTTCAAGCAAAGATTCTACATAAAACTGGAAATGTTCTTGTAGAGCGCAGACCTCTACTTTCTCTAAAAAAGAAATTCTGCATCTACTGTAACTTTGATCACTTTACCTCCTGGGCAGGCGTAATTGCGTAATCAGACAATCTTGTATACATTTGTGTATTTTTCTACTATAAACAATCACTATTGTATCCAACTGAATTGTAGTGTTGTGACAATCCTAATTGGCCACATGTCAAAAGTGCAGCAAGTGCTGTAATCAAATTTTTTTGTCATTGGGAGTTTTCTAAACATTTTACTCGGATTTTTAGAATTTGGCATAATTGATTTATTAGAAGTTTCGTGATATCAAGCCTGATGCTGATACTACCAGTTAGAAGTTTAAATCTAATCACATATATATATTTATATATATATTTATATATATATATATATATATATATATATATATATATATATATATATATATATATATATATATATATATATATATATAATATATAAAAAAAACATTATTTATATAATGATCTCTACTTCCCCTGCTGTCAAGACTGGGCATTCCCTAGTGGTCTGTCCCCATATGCAGCATTTTAAAAGCCGGCATTTGGGCACACACTCTTCCTCCTCCTCTCCTCTTCACACTAGCTTGTCTGCTCCTTCTCTGGTCTCACTCTCGTCTGTCTGCTCCGCTCTGCTCTGTGCCGTGCCGCCCGTCCCGGTGACACACACAGCCATCAACACACCCTCATGCGTGCTCCAGTGGCAGCCAATCACAGAACACCAGTTTCCCCATTGCTTGCCACTCAATGCCTTGTTGCCAGGGCAACAGGCAGGCATGAGACCAAATTCATTTTAGCATGTTATCCACTTGATGTAGATTTTTTTAATCTTTATAAAATTACATTTGTTTGATATAAGATGTCCAATAATTATACTTGAAACATCAAAAATCTTTGCTCCTTGCCTGTCTTGTTTCTATGGTGCAGATGGCTGGTGCAAAATGAAAAGCGTGTGCGTGGGGTTCATCACCTTTTATTTTGGAAGTTTTTAGCATGAGCACCTCTCTTGTGTGTTTGTGGGCTGGGTTTACTGCAGTGCAGCTCTGACCAGTTTCTTCTCTGTTTCTCTGTTCCCCTCCAGGTCTACAATGAAGTCTGGGGCCACGTTCTCTCTGCTTTTGATCATCCTGATTGTGCCTTGGTGCTGTGGCTCTGAAGGTGAGCCTCATTGTTGGATTTTGCACAGTAGCTGAGTGATGATGAATGTCTATTTTAAGCAAACACATTATAACATCAAGACGAGGTAATAAGGGAAAATGAATCATAATTTTGTCCCTGCTTATTGAGAAACCATATTTATAAAGACACATTGTCACCTCTTTCCATAATTTCCCCAGACATGACATTGCACAAAACAATCAAATTTCCTCCCGTGAAGTATGAAAAGGAGAGGACACAGTAGGCATTTAGTCAATCTTTCTATGAATTCTTACTCTACCAGTATTTTTATTAGATATTATAACCATGAATATTTTAGTTTGAAGGCTTTGAATAGAAAACGGTATAGAGCAACAGTAAGCCAAAGGAATGGAGTGGAGTTTCAGTCTCTTATCATCTTCCAAGTCCTTCACATTGATAAGTATGTTGTTTCCTCTTGTAAATGTGTTGGCAGTTGGGGATTAGGCCATGGTAGACAAAAAGCCCAAACACCGAAAAGGTTGCCAAATTTTCAATCTTACAAAAACGAGCCGAATGTGAGTAGGTCAGACATTGTGCTTTGAGGCTATTGAAAGTCCATCAACCCCTCCCTCACGATTCCACATTTAAATAGACCCAGTCCCCATCCGTGAGTCATCGCTTCAAATTCACATAATTTGTTTTTGGGTCTCTCCACGTTCCCGGTCTCCCTCCGAACTGATGTCTGTGCGTTCACTGCAGTGGCACATACTTTGATAATACTGCCGAATCTTCAGATGTCCCTTTTTGAATACTCTTTCTGACACTGCTTAACATTTGGCGCCCGTCTCCGCGCTGACCTTGTACATTTTTGTGTGTGTTTTTTTTTTTTCTTAGGCGGTGGAGTGAGGAACTTTGAATGCAAGTGTGACGCATCAACGTGCGGCGCGGGCAGCCGGTGTTTTGGACAAAAGTGTTTCACCTTGCTGTCCGTGCAGAATGGGACCGCGGTGACCGAGAAGGGGTGCATTGTGGGGAGCGAAGACGTCTCTTGTTCACGCCCACAGAGTTCTGAGCTACTGGTGGAATGCTGCGAAGGAGACTGGTGCAACAGCAATTCCTCAATGCAGCTTCCAGTTAAAGGTAAAAGAGCTGACTAATTTGCGGTTTAAAAAATCCAGAAAACATGCAGAAAAAGTCATTTAGTTAAGGAATAAATGTTTGCACTGTGGCACCAATTGTCTGTGAAATGAGCCGGAGAAACATACTGATATATTTGTGTCTTGATCTCTTGTAAGAAGTTCCCTCTCTTTATAAGTATACAACTCTGTGGTCATTGACGAGTAGAGCAACACTCCTTGAAAGCCTTGAAAACCAAATAATTGTACACTGACCCAGAGAATTAGGTTGAAAAGTCCACAGGGAAAGATCCATATATTCTCAACATCCTGAACAAAATGAGAGGCTGTAGATTCTGTAAATGTACAAAAAGGCAGAGATCTACGAGTAGAAATTGAGGCGATAGAGCAGAGACAGCAGTTCCTTAGAACAGGGGATTTCTATTAAACATACACTGCACACAAGCACATACACTTTTTACGTATGTACATTTCATCTATTTCTATTTTGTAAAAGTGTATTTTTAGATTAAATTATGTACTTGAATAGACACATTGTGGCAGAATTTAAAGCTGCACCAAATGATTTGGAGACATTTTCAAATGCAGGCGATGGGCTCGCTCTCTCTGCTCGCCCTCCCCGCACCCACGGAGCTTTCGCCCTCCACTACCCCCTCCTCCGCAGCCTGTGCTCTGTGCTGTTGTTAGCTTCAGAGCTAGCGTCTCACAACATGGAACAATGTGGCACTTTTGCACGTGGATGGCGTGACCATAGCATGACAGAACCGGAAAGCGTGGAGAGGACGAGACTTTCTTTTGGATGGATGTTTCGCTGTGTAAGCAGTAACGAAGACTCAAGAAGTTTCAGAGCTGTCTGTGCTAACAAGAGACGTGTGGCTTTTATCAAGAAAGCGGGGGCCAGCGGTCCGCAGTTAACTGGTCACAATCTGAGACCCGAAACACATTCTCTTCCTTGTTTCATGAAAACTCGAACTAAAATATAATGTCACGCCAGCACAAACCTGTGCTACTTATTCTTCAAAAGGACCTATATGCCAATGCACTGCATGGATATGGATTGCATTTTCGTAATGAATACGAAAATAAAGTCAGTTAGTGCAGCTTTAAATCAATGAATCAGTCAACAACTTAATTTGTCCTTAATGGGCATATTAGTCAGCGGCTGCCTAATAATGATACAGAATAGTATGATTCTAAAGTTGATTTGGATTTTGAGCTTTAGAATCATGAGGGTGTCCTAAGATCCTGCGGTGAGACATTGTGACATCTACATTGTGAATCTTGGTGCCAGGTTTAAAAATTGAAGTAATATGTTCCGTTTCTGGTGATCGCAAATAGCCTGTAATTCCCTCATGACTGTAATATCATATTATCTCAAAATCACTCTAGACACAACCACATATGTGCAATTCTGCTGTCTCCTGCCAAACAGAGCTCATTTAATTCTCACTCCCATGTCGGCTATAATCTCTGGCCCTGCCGTTTCATTTAATGGTCACTAATGGTATTGGTCTAATGGATGCTGCGCTTGTGTTCTTATCAGATGTGGAAGTGTCGGCTGGACGGCCTGTCCTCCGGGAACAGCTGTGTGCGTGCGACGGCGCCCACTGCAGGCAGGAGCAGAGCTGCACAGGTCAGCACTGCTTCTCCTCACTCACACTGACCGACGGGCTGGCCACACAGCAGAAGGGCTGCCTGAGGGACGACCAGGAGGGCAGAGACACCTGTGCCACCCCACCCTCCTCCACCCGCGTGGTCAAGTGCTGCCAGGGCCATCTGTGCAACATGAACGTGAGCGTGCAGGCTCTGGGGAAAGGTGACTTTAGACACAACATACATCTTATCTTTGCCAGGTTTCACTGTTGCATTATACAGTTTTAGCAGATGTACTTGTATGTCTACATTATTGGTTGATTTTGGTTATTATCACGTGAGCAAAAGGCCTTAAATCCAACTTTCAAATGACAAAAAGAAAAAAATAATAATATTGTCCATCCAGCTAGTTTGTCATTACCAAAACGGGTTGCTTCTATAATTAGGAGGAGCAGCAATGCATACAAATGTCTGGTCACTTACATGATTTACTTGATAATGGAAATATACTAGTACTCTGAAATATTATCCATAGTTTTATTTCATATACTAAAAATACAGTTGTTTTTTTATGCCGGTACTTAGTGGGGATTTAAAACAGATTTGACTGATATCAGTAAAGCAAAAATTTAGATGCACAACTACTCACAAGTGTAATTACCTGAGTGAGGGTGGTCCTCTTTTTAACTTTTGTATCAAAGAAAACTAATAAGAAGATGTAACGGGAAAGAAATTGAACCAAACTGTTTCATGGTTGTGTTTTGAAAGCTATATCAATATAATTACCATGCAGTTCAAAACGTTTATATTATTATGGCCCAATCGTACTCATGTGGTGGTCTATTACGCCTCCAGGATTCATTTATTCATTACCGTGTGTGTTATTTGTGCAGAAGAGGCGGTGAAGCCCGTGGCGCGAGAGGAGCACGAGTGCGTTTGCCAGGGCAGCTCCTGTGAGACGCTGAACCGCTGCAGGGGCCACCAGTGCTTCTCCTCGCTCACCGTGAACGCCGGCTCTCTGGTGTACCAGAAGGGCTGCTTTAAAGTCTACGAGCAGAGCACACTGACCTGCAAGACCCCGCCCTCCCGCGACCAGATTGTGGAGTGCTGCTACGGCCACCTCTGCAACATGAACAGCACCGTGCAACTGCCGCTCAAAGGTAACGGCAACTTTGAATGCAACTCACAGAATTCTAGGGTTTATTGACTTTGCTCATGTTGTCATTATACTTTGATGGTACACACACTGTTGCTGGGGTGATGGTTAAGCCGCGTTCAGCCCGGATCATGCATTGCGTCGACTTTCAATATAAAGTCAATGGTGACGTGCGTTCGAGCGTCGAAATGCATGTGCGTCTCGGAATGCACGCACAAACTGCTCGGTAGAGAGTGGGGAGGTGCGGGAGCGGACGCACACAGGCAGGAGATACCATTTTCTGAGCGTTTCCAGAGAGCCGCAAAGTGGTCACGGGGACATTAGTGGTCTGAGCGAGCAGACATAACATACTGTAAACAGCCTAAACAGGAGCTACATCAGGACTAAACCAGGGTTGACAATGGGGGACACAGTGCTTGTGAACAGTTTTTAAGGCAGTAGATCCATGCTTCAGTGATCAGAGGTCGCATGTTTTGTTTGTTGTTGTTTTGGGGGCATACTGTGGCGTGCGGAAACGCAAAACTCCGGTTATCTCTGTCTACACACAAATGCATAAACGGATAATTTTTTTTATGTAATGCGATCTACCAATACTACCTTTGCGATCGACGTATTGAGCACCCCTGGTCTACTTCAATCCCTTTTTGTCTATTTTGCATAAATTCTTATTCATCTTATTCAAAGTCGTTTACACGATATTTTTCAGGCAATGTCTTGTGTTGGTAGCCATTTCTCACTTTTTGTACTTGCACTTTGTACTTGAGATTCAGGCATGATTTCACCACACTCCAAAAGAATCCATTTTATATTAATGTGATTTGGGCAGCGTTTGGCCTTGGTAAACATGAGATCATTTCAAGCAACACTTTGTAAGGATTGGGTTAGAAATGGCTTATGAAAACTGTTATTGCATTTGACAAAAAGTTGTATTGTTGCTATGATGAGATTGGTTCATCCAACATTTTTGATTCTGTATAATATTTAGTCAGCTCCTAACACTTTATTCATTAGATGTGTGTTTTAGCATAATTGAAAATGATTAGAATTGAAATTTGAAGGTGAATGTGGCGGGATGCAAAGTTAAACCACTGCCATTCTCAGCCCATTTACCTCTGCGGAGGTGGCACCATCGACACTGTTTTCTCCCCCGCTGTTTTGGATGTTTTGAGGGCAGAGCGGCCATTCTGCTGGAGCCATATGACGGAGACAGTGCCACAGGGAGATTTTGAATACGATTTAGTCATGGTCTACTTGGGCTGTGTCCCCCCTCTGTGGCTGTCAAAACGGGCTGACAAGCACCTAGTGGGAGAGGCCACCTGAGAATGAAGCAGAGCTGTGTATAAATAACAACAACCTTTTCTAAACTCTCTGCGTTTTGATTCATTTGATCCCGTACTAAAGAGGTTTGCAAAAAGCTTATATCGGCGACGGCTGGGTAATTATCAAAATGGATCTCTTGCTTATGTCTAGTTGAAGCTATGAATGTACTGTTAGTTGCATGGATTTTGGGGAAAAAGGGGGACATTGTCAGTCCTGCCTGGAGAGCTGTTCAGACGCCCCCTCGGAATGTCTGGAAACTCTGAATAGTGGTCAGTTGTGCAGAGCTGGGCCCTGCAGACTTACCCCCTCACCATTGACCACTTTTAAGAATTCAATCAAATTTTTAAACCTTAAAAGAATACTGTTTCCCATTTAGGTTTTTTCTGACATAAGAAAAAACTCAGTTATTATAATTTTTTTCAATGCTAGAGATGAGCTTTCTAGTAATCGCTTAAAAGTAATCTTTAATTCTGCTTACTCCTTTTGAGCTCTATATAGCACTTAAACATTGTCTTCTTTTTTGTATGTGTGTAACAAACTTAACACAAATAAAACACAGGATATTTTGCCGCCATGTTTCCCTATCCTACACATATATGTAACTGAAGTAGCTTTCAGGAAATGGCAAATACGCATTATCAAAGTGATTAAACAGTAACCACGTAAAATCTGGTCCGACCCTGCACAATATGATAATGTTCCAATGTGGCCCCTGGAGAAAATAATAGCCCACTCCTGCTATATACACTAACATCACAAATAAAATCCAAGCCCTGAGAACCGGAGGCAAAACCAGAGAAGTTTCCACATGTTATGACAGTTCTGTTAGTATTACTTGAGGATAATGATGCCACTAATTTGTTTGTGTTTTTAATATGCTGCAATCCTCATTGTTGCTTAGAGGGGAATGCTGGAGTGTTTAGATAATACAACATAAAGGGTATAAGAGGAATAGCATCCATAGTATTTGCGTTTGTGTTTACCCCGAGTTGTTTTCCATAAAGGTCTTCTACTTGCCCAAACCTGGTGCTACCCTGATTATAAAGTTGTAATGTACTTTGAATCTGAAAAGTACTCTTGCCCATCTCCTTCACCACCGCTATAAATGTTTTGGATTAACCTTAACAAAGAAATAAATTTAACTACACTCCCTTACAATGCACTGAATGACATCCATTGTTCTTCCCAATCAACAGAGCCCACTCAATGTTTTTGTGTCCCTGCAGCAGTGGAGCTCTCCCACTACAGCGTGACCACTCTGGCTATTGTCATCGTGGCACCCATAATAATCCTGATCCTCCTCTCCGCCATCGCCATCATGGTGTTCCGCCGACTCCACCACAACCAGATGGAGAGGCTGACCTCCCGGGACGCCGAATATGGAACCATCGACGGCCTCATAGCTTCCAACGTGGGGGAGAGCACTCTGGCAGTAAGTATTGGAGATGATTAAGACACGCTTTTGGCTTAAAACAAAGGCTTTATCAAGGAGTCATTTTTTTACTGTGCACCAAAAAAGTACGCCAGGCCTGCCTACTTCTGTTTTACACAACGAAAGGCCAAATATCATGATAAGAAATTGAATAGCCATGCAAACTATCAACTCTAGAGGTAGTGAGTAGTAAGTGATCTTTATTTATATTGCGCCTTTCACAGACCAGTCACAAAGCACTTTACAATACCTATTGTGCATGTTTTTAGTGGTAGCACCCGGAAGAAACCTACAGGCACAGGGAGAACATGCAAACGCCACACAAAGGTCTTGAGGTATTGCTCGCGTACATGGCTACCCCTCCTACAAATAGCGCATGGTAAATGTCTGACCACACAACCACTTGTAAAACATGTTATTTGCATTGTTCTGAGCCCTCTCAGTCACTATTTAACGCTGAGAGCTGATTGGCTGAGTGAGGTTCTCTTTCACTTTTTTATTTGAAAGAAATCTGGTCTAAAGATACAACAGAGGCTAAGAATGCATCTATGTGAATACTAGTGAGGGCATAGGAGCCAGGAGCTAGTTAGGTGGATTTTATTACAAGTTGGGTACCCCAGCTTTAACCCCCTTCCGTTGGCCAAGTACTTACTTTTAAGTTAATTTTTTCTTCATATGATCAGCTTTGTTTCCTCCCTGTTGGTGGTGGTTTAAGTTCTCTATTTCCATCTACGTCACACAGGAGACAGAGCTTAATCCCTTTGTGTGTTATGGGTGCAATAAGCATAAAAAGCCCTCTTATCTTGAAGGATCCCCTTGAACAAAAGACAACATCTGTGTGATATGATCTGCAAGGATGTACTCACCATAATTATCATTGTAGCGAGTTTTTATCTCAGACAAAATGTTCATTCTTTTGTTCATGGCAACATCTAATATCGCTGCGTGGAGCCAGTTCTCTCGCTACACATCAAATAAATGTAAATATTGAAGCATAAGTAGCGCTCCATATGTCGTGTATTAAATGACTCGTGACAACGAAACAGCAGCAGTAATCGCAGGCAATCATTTAGCTTTGTCATTTTCTCGGCGCCTCCGCTCTTGGCTTTTGTATGCAGTGGTTTGAGTTTGAGCGGTTTGCTAAAATGATCCAGAACTTGGGTGGAGTCTCGCGGTTAGCGTTTTAGCTCTAGTGTGTAATCATGTCTTGCAGAAACATTTCATTCTGGCCTCTGCAGCGAAACCCGTACTTGATCGTACAAGTCAAAAGCAAATAGAGATTTTCACTCAGTCATTTTCTTAAGTGCATTTTTGGAAATGACTTACTGCCTTCAATGTGCTTACTTTTACTTTACTATATGTAAGTAAGTAATCTATATTTTTATAGTGCCTTTCATAGACCAGAGTCACAATGCGCTTTACAATTGTGGGCATTTGTCTTCCACTCCACACAGAGAGCGGGGTCGTCGGTACAGGAGGCACATGCCAGACTTATGGTACATGTTTTTAGTGGTAGGGGAAACCGGAGCGCCCGGAGGAAACGCGGATACGGGGAGAACGTGCAAACTCCACTCAGAAATGCCTGTTCGGGATTTGTACCCACAACTAGATAAGGATTTCTTTTTATAATCAATAAATGTTTGTCCCTACAAAAGGAGTCAAAGTCAAAAGTACAATGTTGACTTTTAACTGCAAAAACACATCTTGTCTTCATCTTATTAGAAAACGTCTTTTGCATATTTATAGCAATAATCCCTGAGAGAGACACTTTATTCTATATATGAACAAATTGGATGGATTGTAGATTGTAAATTTGTGTGAACTTTTTGGTCCATTTACTAATTTGTAATTTAACTTACATGGTTTAATGTTAAACCAATATATGGCAGACTCATTACATGCAAAGTGAGATGCGTCGAGCCTTTACCTGTTATGTTTTTTATTGCCTCGCAGCTTTTAAAGAAATAAACTAAGTAATAATAATCCTCAAAATTATAACACAGGCTTGACATTTGTCTTCTTACTTCAACTGTATGGCCACTTAATCAATAAATGGTTCACGCATATGTTGCAGACAATTCGCTTTTATATTACCCAGTACATTCCAATGTATTATTATCTAAAGAAGCTAGTCTGACACGGATGATTTTGAATCTCACATAAAAGTCTGCATCCATTCAGCTTGGCACAAAAACATCCAAATATGAGCCTCACAGAATGTTTGTTTGAGCATAATTAAATCGCTCTTGGCGGCGGGACGAGAAAGGTTATTAGGAACAGCGGTGTGGAAAAGCCGAAAACACAAGCGCCGGCCTCTTCCTCTGCATCCGACAAAGTCATCTCTGATTAGAATGACACTGCGGCGCGCTGTGATTACGTTCTACAGCCTGCTCTAAATTTCACCTCCATAAAGCAATTCCACGGACAAGCGTTTAAAGTTGCTACAGAGTGACACCTCTGTTTTTCCCTTACCTATCTGTGCTGTGGTCCCAAATAGTCTTTTAGGCCACCTCTCTATTATGCATGTGTTCATCAAAGGGGCACCACTCATGACTGTTGATTTTTTTTTTTGCCTCTGCTACCAGACCTGTTTGTTTATTATTGCGAGCTGCAGCGACGCCCTCCTGTGGTCGCTGCGTGAAGCTGCCAGTCTGAGCAGCGTGATAAAAATAAAAGGCTTAGCGGCATTGCGCCTGTTTTGGAGTCTGGCCCTGGGATTAGATCAAATCACCAGCACCCACACCACTAGGCAGCCACGGGGAGAAGAGAGGCAATGGCGTTGTTTACCCACCAGGGGGCACTCCGCACCTCTAGACAACATGAGCGCAGCAGCCCACAATGCCCTTCTTCACACACACAGGCTCTCAGGGGTGCCACATCAAAGACTCCACAGCCATTGGGAGTCCAGATGCTTCTTATTTCATCATTTTTCGAGCCGGCAGTCATGGATGGCTCTGAAAAGATTATTACTCGCACTGTCCCAACACACACAGGCCCTCATGTTGTGTGTCGCCTTCTCTCCCAGGACCTGCTGGACCATTCGTGCACTTCAGGGAGCGGCTCCGGACTGCCCTTCTTGGTCCAGAGAACAGTGGCCCGACAAATCACTCTGAATGAATGTGTGGGTAAGTGGCTCATAGCCTGGTGTTTCCTATTCACCAGAAAAATCTTTCAAAATGCCTCTTTTTGTGCCCCTTGAGGTTTTCCTAACTTCACTGCAAGGGAACCTGTCTAGTAGAATCTAGAAGATTATGAATTTGTTGACCCATTTACAAGAAACAAAAACTGTTTAGTTAGTTTGTTTTCTCTGATGACACAAAAGGACTAGGATTAAGCGGCCACCTATGACTAAGTACAAAAGACAAATACTGCACTTTTAATAGCTTTATTATTCAACCCCAACAAGTCATTTGTGGCCAATATGAGATACTTTTAAATTAAATTGACCTGTGAGTATAACCATTCCTTAACAAAAGACACATTTTATTCCAAATGTGTGGATCAATTGTGTAGATCTTTCTGTTTTAATCCAACGTCGCATTTCCCATTAGCCCAAACCTTCATCTAAAATGTAGACCTGAAGACTAATGTATCCTATGCAATGATGGAAATTATTACATAGAATAGGCAGTAAACACTATTTGAATAGATATTTCATGTAGTAGTTGCTGGATTGAATTACAATTATGTATAGGCAAAACAGACTCTTGTTCACATGTAACGCAATATTATCAGTTTTACTGCAATGTACCAAGTCATAACGCTAATGCCTCACACGCCTTTGATCACTTTCAAATGTAGCCTTGGTAAAACTAATTTCGGCTTTTAATTAAAACAAAGAAAATGGATTAATATGTTATGAAAAGTAGTTAAGAGGATTTGCCTAAACAGGACCTGGTAGTTAAATGATATAATATTTTGCAAAAGGAGATGTACACGGAAATAAAATAAAAGTATCTGATGATGCCCTTATGTCTGGTAAATCAAATGTACCACGTTTTTGTCCCCAGGAAAAGGTCGCTATGGCGAAGTGTGGAGGGGGCAGTGGCAAGGCGAGAATGTGGCTGTCAAAATCTTCTCCTCCAGAGATGAGAAGTCCTGGTTCAGAGAAACTGAGATTTACAACACTGTGCTGCTAAGGCATGAGAACATTCTAGGTACGCCATTTGAACTTATCACAAAATCATCAGGGACTAGTGAAATGAATTTGGTAAATCCTCTGTAATATGTGCTCCAGGCTTCATCGCTTCAGACATGACCTCTCGTAACTCCAGCACACAGCTCTGGCTCATCACTCACTACCACGAGTTGGGCTCCTTGTACGACTACCTGCAGCAGAGCACGCTGGAGTCCCTCGGCTGCATGCGGATGGCACTGTCCATCGCCAGTGGCCTCGCACACCTCCACGTGGAGATCTTTGGCACTCAAGGAAAACCGGCCATCGCCCACCGGGACCTGAAGAGCAAAAACATCCTGGTCAAAAAGAACGGCCAGTGCTGCATTGCTGATCTGGGTAAGAGGAGTTCTGTCAGGCTTCAGCGAGGAATCGACTAATAGTGACGACATCAAAAGGAATTACATTGAGCAAAAATGCAAACGCAATACTTGGTCACTTTCAAACAGAGCCATGTTAAAGCCCCTTTTTTTCATTGATAAGAGAATTTCAGGATTCAATTCAATTCAATTCAATTCAATGTAGTCTTGTATAACCCTAAATCACAACTGCAGTTATCTCTGGGGACTTTACAAAACCATTTAATTCGCCAACACAGATCAGAGTAAGTAAATAAGTAAGTAATCCTTATTTATATACCGCCTTTCTCAGACCAGAGTCACAAAGCGGTTTACAATTGTTATTTTTTGGGCATTTGTCTCTCACTCCACACAGAGATTGGAGCGGGGTCGCCAGTACAGGAGGCGCATGCCAGACCTATTGTACATGTTTTTAGTGGTAGGGGAAACCGGAGTACCCGAAGGAAACCTACGCAGACAAGGGGGGAACATGCAAACTCCACTCAGAAAGGCCCTGGTCCGACTGGGACAGAGAATCAGTCCAAACAAAACAAATACAACAGAAAACACCTTGGTATTGGTCCATAAGGGGCACATGACCAACATCCATAAGTGTTGATAAATGTCCATAAATGTTTTGATATATATTGCCAAAACAATATTTTCCGTGATCCCTAACCGCCACCACGGACCTCTCACCCACACGATTCCTCACACGCTGTCTGCCATCTGCCCTGACGAGTATGCATTACAAAATACTACATAAACATATCTAGTTTTTAATCATCACATTTCATTCTATAGTTCGTGTTTCATTTTTAACCTAATAATAATTGTTACTACAGTTGCATTTTGCTTTTATATTTTTATTTAATTGATTCTTACCAAGGCATCAGAATTGAATTACACATCTGAACACACATGTAGTTACAAATGTTCTTTTGTCGATCCCCTTTTTGCTGGTAATAATTCATAATTTCTCATGTAGAATTTACTAACTACTGAATTGTGTTTATACAGTGCATAACTTTTAATGGACTGAATCTCTACTCTAGTTTTCTAGTGCTTGTTTTTCATCACAAACTTACTTAAATGCTTTTTTCTTAATAAGAAATATAGTGTATACAGCACAGACCACTTTGTCTCCTACAGCGCTGCTTCCATTTGAAGAAAAACTCTATAAATCTAATTTTGATGTAATTCTGTCCCCACATTGATAGCCAGACAGGTTCATTAGACGCCTCTGACCTGCCCTAATATACAGATAAACAGGCTACCGGTTGTTCCCCCGGGAGACGACTCATCTCCTAATATGAACAAAACATCAGCTGTAGAAAAACAACTTGGACAAGCTTCATGTTCCCAACTAATAAAATGTCCCCAGTGTCTCTGAAGATGTTTGTTGTGTGTGTCCTAGGTTTGGCGGTCATGCATTTCCAAGACACCAATGAGCTCGACGTGGGCAACAACCCAAAAGTGGGCACCAAGCGCTACATGGCCCCGGAGGTCCTGGACGACTCTATCCAGATGGACTGCTTCGAGTCCTTCAAGCGGGTGGACATCTGGGCCCTGGGGCTGGTGCTCTGGGAGATCGCCAGGAGGACCATCAGCAATGGTGAGTGTGCACTTAAAGGGGACATCACCTGCTAAATCCACTTTTCTCAGCTTTTGATCCGGTTACTGTTGTTTTCTCGTTTCTACTGCATGTGCTGTTTTCAGTGTGATTCATGCATGGTTGAGTTATTTATATCCTCATATACACCATGCCTCTCTCCTCACTCCTGCTGCTACTTAGCGCCTCCCTCGGGTTTTCTCTGACTTTGTTAGCCAATTTTCTTTTCTGAAAATCCGTGATATGTGGACGCTTCATTTTAGCTCAAAGGGAAAATATCCTAACGTCGCAACTTGGTCTTTGGCAGTGATGTGACATTCCACTGACGTTACATTTAGGGGCTTACGTTACTTTGAAGGCATTTCTCGGTACTGATAACAGAAGTGTACAACACGTCTCTTTTATAACAACATATTTGTCACTTAATTTATAGCTCATTATAGAATATTTTGTTCCTTTAACCTATCGATATCCTTCATTTTACAGATTGTTGACGATGCAGCAGTAGAGTTCCACATTTAGATCTAATTCTTCCTGTTTAAAACTCTTTTTTTCTGACAAACTCCAGACAATCACTTTCAGCCCTAAATCATCATTGTGCCATATTGCAGAGTAGGGGATTATTCATTTTGATAAAAGGCTACATACTGTATCCTCTTTGAACCAAACATATTTAGCCTCAATTTTGTGTTGCTTTTATTATAGATTAAAGATTTTATTTTTTTGTCAAGAGAATCAACAACACTGCATAGTTCGATGTAAAGTGTATGATTTATTTCAAGTACTGGAAATGAGGAGGAATTGGTGGATGATGAGCACTGAAATGGAGGACAAAATAGGAAATATATAACAATAAATAACAAAGTCTGTTTTCTGCGTAGGTATCGTAGAGGACTACAAGCCGCCTTTCCACGACGTGGTCCCCACTGACCCCAGCTTTGAGGACATGAGGAAAGTTGTGTGTGTGGACCAGCAGAGGCCTGTGATCCCAAACCGCTGGTTTTCTGACCCGGTTAGTTCTACCGTCATTTTTCACATTTCTTTTCATGAATCAGTTGTTTACCTTGCCACATTTTGTCTTCTCTTTAATTACAGACATTAAGTTCCTTGGCCAAACTCATGAAAGAGTGCTGGTACCAGAACCCTTCAGCTCGATTAACAGCATTACGGATCAAAAAGACGCTCACAAAAATCGACAGCTCTCTGGACAAAATCAAAACAGACATTTGATTCTGCTGCGCTCAAAGTGGTGAAGACGACAGGCTTTTGAAGACCGCCGAGAGCCGAGCGAATCACACGAGACCGAGGACTTGTGGTTTGAGTGCCCTTATAGTGGCACAGACCAGTATTTATTTTAAAAACACTTGGTGGGAAACATTTTGGCATCCAAAGATGGCTTACATGGACATTTCTGAGACAGCCAAACGTCTTAAGAAACAGGAAAAGTCTATCTGAAAACGCATATAGGAGCCGGACCATGAGGAAGAAGATGTTACTTGGGCATTGGCTTTTGTTAGTACAGCAAAATATAGTTTGACATGTTTTACAGTGGTCCCTTGTTTATCGCAAGGGGTTTTTTTCTAACAGTATCCCGCAATAAGCAAATTTCACAAAATCACATTTATGTTTTGAAGCTGTTAAACCCACTCACCACACACCTTATACATTTTTCTTACTACCTGAACTTACGTCAGCTGCAGTGCAATTGCTGAGTTGTAGGTCTGAGCGCTACTGCAGCTGTGAAAAGCCGTGCATACACTGTAACATACAGCTGCAGAGGACACCGCACTGAGGGGCAGGAGCAGGACTCGGGCTACGGAAGACCACGATAGTCCTCTGAACTAATCACCAAGGTGTACATATGCCATAACAGTTTTCTTTTGACTTTTCACTGCAAAAAGTGATAAAGAAAAGTCTATAATTGCAAAAATTTTGCTTACTCTATCTTAATTTGAGCACATTCTGACTGCCTTAAAATAAGATTTGCCAAATGGTACAAGCAAAATGATCTTGTTTTCTTCGGAGGAAAATAAAGCAACAGTTCTTGAAATAAGTCTAAATGGCTTTGTTCCATTGGCAAATCTTGTTTTAAGTGAAAATGTACTGAAATTGAGATGAAAACCACTCGATTCAAGCCATTATCACCTCATATTTGATCAATTCCTGCTAAAAATAGGTAAATATGTTATACTAGCAGTTATCTGATGTTGTTTATGGTGTTGCTGAAGTAGCAAGTAGTGCATGAGAAGCACACTGTAAAAACATTCAAAAGTGCTTACACACAAAAATCCACGGCGAGAAGGGGATCCGTGTTACAGCGAGGGACCACTGTACTACTGTCATGTGTAAACTGTCTGAACAAAACTGTACTTTGGAAGTCGTTTCTTTGGTTATATTGTTCATTTGCGTTATAGTGGACACTTAAAAAAGGAAAGCTTGCCAACTCATTGTGAGCACACTCCACAATAAGAAGCTTTTGTCTGTTTACAACACTGTCACAAGTTTATAGGATTACACGTTTCGTTGTGCGAGCGACTGAGGCACTAGTGTTTGATTTTGTATTTTCTGCAAATTGAGTTCCGTACCTGTTCATGTTTTGTTTATTCAACTCGATAACTTTGTACTAGAAAGAACAAATCCCTACCGTGCTCTGCAAGTGGTCGCTCTGGGGCCTGTGCTTAAGCCTGTACACTGTCTTAATGTGTGCAATGTGGTCTTAATGCGTGCAATGTCAGACAATTTAGCCTTTTTTTATTATTTCTTTAACATTTTATATCGAAAAAGTGGTTTCTATTTCATGTGTTTTTATTTGTCTCAATTGTTTAGATCTATTTATTGTTTTTTTTTTTAAAGACTTCTAACATTTAAATGCTTCTAGTCCAATTTTCATGCACAAGACAGAATTAAACGGCTCTGCTCAGTCTAATGCTGTTTTCATATGTTTTTTTTTGTATTTCTCACCTTTTACTCATGTCTGATTTGGCCAACTTTGCCAGTCATGGTGTTAGTATTAGATAGCAATATGGCCTACGTGCAGGACTGTACAAGGACTCTACAAGGACTCCATGTTATGACTATGATGTGACTGTCTCTTTGTGACACGTATGTCTTTCGATGTGTGACGTGACAATGACTATATAAAACTGTGTACTGCCTTTATTCTGTCTGAGAGAAAGAAACAGAGTAAACCAGTGGAACTTGAGAGAAACTTAAATAAACTTCCAGAGTTTGGCACACCACGATCCGTCTCTGTCTGCTAAATCCTAACAGATTTGGTGGAGGATGCGCGGCTCGGTTTGTGCCATTCTCTGGATTGTTTTGGGGGAGTTTGCTCTGTTTCTTTTCCTCGGCGTGAGAGATCGGCATGCTGTGTCTGGGAGCGGAGATTCCAGCTGGAAGAGCTGTTCCTGGATGCTTCTTGTCGCTTCTGTCACTTTTGTTTTTTAAAATTGAATATTCCGACGCGGAAAAGAGGTTGGCAGACCTCTCGGACAGTCCTTGGAACCGGTTTGACAAGAATAAGGTAAGCAGACACCTTTTTATATGTAAAGTCTGCATAATTGGATATTAGCTAAATTTTGGTCTGTTTTTGGGGTCTGTCAACCTCTCTAAATTGTATTTGAGAAGAAGTCTCGGGGTTAGAGTCCCTTTGAGAAGAAGCTTCAGGGTTCGAGTCCCTTTGAGAAAACGTTTTCGGGGTTAAAGTCCCTTTGAGAAAGTCTCGGGGTTAAAGTCCCTTTGAGAAAAGCCTCGGGGTTAAAGTCCCTTTGAGAAGAAGCTTCAGGGTTAAAGTCCCTTTGAGAGAAACCATGGTGTAATAATAAAAGCAATAAAAAGGGAAACGTGTTAAGGAGGCCTTTGTTACAAAAGCGTTGAAATTGACGAATTTCAGGCTGATAAATGACAAAAGTAAAGAAGCAACAATATTTCAGTGATCACGGTTTAAATTACATACAGAAAAAGGGAGTTTTTGTTTTTGGCGTGAACAGAGTTCACCGGAGAATGCAGAGTTTTATCTAAAGTTGAGCTATGAGAGCTTTCGTGAGTTATTTACATTTTTTGCCGAGTTTTATCTACAGTTAAGCTATGAGAGGGTTGTATCCAACAGTTGTTTTTGTTTTTTAGAAAGAGATTTTGAGTTTAAACTAGTTTGCTACCTCGATAAAATAGAAGCGTACGTTAAAGACAAGAGTGCCTTTTGTTACTAGTGTGGAAAGTAGCCATTTCTAGACTTGGATGACAAAAGTTTAAAGAACAACATCAGTTATATTCGCTTTAAAAAGTAATCTTGAAAGTTCTTCTTCTGTATCTTTTTGCCTGTGTGTGCACATCTCTATCTGCTGCCGTTGTCAGGGAAACGGCCCCCTCCTTCGCTGCTCTGGCTCTGAATCTGAAGCAAAGCTACTGCTTTTAGGATTTAGGCTTTTCATAGTTGTTATTCAGTTAAATTTGCTAAATTTGCCATTTGAACATTGTGTTAGACACAGTTAAACGTTTTTTAAACACCATTTAGTGAATAAGTTTTGAATATTATATGTTTTTTGAAACCCAAATATTAGTGCTAAAAGCTGTGCAATTCTTTTTAGACCTAACATATTTCTAGATTCCATTCTTTTAAATCTGCTGCTTATTTTGTGAGTCCATTATTGTATCTCTGATATATTTCATAGCTGTTTGTGAGAATTTTTTTTATGTTTTTATTTTAGTTACAAAAAGCCGTTTTTCAAACATTTAAATTAGAATCTGTGTTAAAAGTGATTAATGATTGTAGACTTCGTCTAAAAAGAAAGAGGGAATTAGGAATTAGCTGTAAAAGTATTATTAAGTTAAACTACCCAATTCACCCATTGCAAGCGGTGACGTTTTTGTTTTGACTACACGCCTGACCTTCCTCCTGCTGCAGATGCACGCAGCACAGGAGCCTGGTCTAAAATGTGCTCCAATTCATATTGACTTAAGTGAAAATGCTGCAATTATTTAAATTAGTAGAATATATGCTGAGATAAATGCATAGATAATTAAACACAGTACAAAAGTACATAATACATATTTTAAAGTTTGAAGGTTTAAGAGATTTGAGTCTTGTTTTTTTTAAGAGAGAGTTTCTGGTCTTAAAAATGTCATCATTAGTAAGATAATAAGTAATCTTTATTTACATAGCGCTTGGGAAAGCCAAGAGCGCTCCAAAATTGTTTTGACTTCAGAGAGAAAAACACTCATTCGCATACTGATATCTATTGTTTTTTTAAATTGGCCGTCTCAAGGATTGTTTTTTTCAGACTCTGCCACACTGTACGAGAGGTCACTGCTGGACACTGGACACCAACGCCCACCCAGCCACAGGCCACAGAGCTAAGAGCAAAGGGCAACAATGCCACCTCTACGCCCCTCCCCCCACTACAGAAGTAAGTGGAAGTGAGACCGGGGCCACAAAGTGGAGGTTTCTGGAGGCAGTGATGGGTGGAGCGTCAGGGAGAGACCTGAATGAGAGTTGAAAGTGTGTCCAGTTGGTTTGCATCACCACAGTGTGACCTTTGACACCTACAGGTGGTTCGAGGAGTCTGGAGACACAACCCCAAAATTCATACACACACACACATTCACATTTACATATAGATGCATGAAAAAGCAGAACATGAGAAAAAAGCATTTTAAAAGTTTACTCCAATGTAAACACATATTTTGAATTGTCTATCACTTGAATCTTTATTTGAATCAGTATTTTTTGAGACCAGAAATGTTCATTTGAATTCTATATTGTCATGGACTTAATTGACGTCTGTCCTGACACTTTTGATTTGTTGATTTTGTACTGTGTGAAGTAATTACATTGATGAGAATTAGATCTGATAAAAATACAAAATTAGAGAAGTAAATTGCGCTTGCTTTTGTCTGAGGGACAGAAGCAACAGCATGAATAGAAATTGATTAGGATTAGAATCAAAGTGACTTAACCATAGAGAGTAACTATTGCATAACAAGCTGTGTACAGGAACTGAGACACTGCACCATTGACCAGAAGTGCATCGCAAATGACCTGATGTGCTTCAACTGAAAAGACTGTATCTGGAGATCCGATGTCCAACTGGAGAGACCAAAACCATGGCTTGGACCCTACTGATGTCCAAGATGACATCTCTATATGACCTGACCTGATGACGACTGAGACTCACCCTCAGGGGACCTGAGGACCTGAGGATCTGAGGACCTGAGAGAGAAAAACTGGGGAGTGATGTTTATATTATTGAAATCATACCATTGATGAGTGCTAAATGAGAGAGATACTCATGATTTTTTCTTTTGTTTTTGTTTGTCCTAGCTTCTGGACATCTGATGATTATTGGACACAGCCATTTGCAGAACAAGAACCAGCCAATGAAAACATCTATTGCCGATGCTATTGCTACAACCACAACTGTGACAAATGCAATATACATGTTAAGTATTCAGAGTCATCTGACAGACAAAAACTTTGAAAATGATAAAGTATAAGTATTGTAGCGTTTTAGTAGATGTTAAATAGTAGTAAAAGAGTAGAATTTGACTTTCTTTTTTGTTCATAAACACATTTCCACATAAGAGTTAAAATAGTACCCTACAATGTTATCCTTTTGATATATCAGCTAAAATACTAGAATCAGAATAATGTTATGAGTGTAGTCTAGATAATCCTTGATTAATGAGATACGATTAAAAACCAACAGAGTTCAAAAGATTTAAAAGCATTTTGATGCCTTGGGTGTAGCCCAAAAAAAAATATTAGTTATTTAGGATATGAGAAGTTTCCAGCACAACACACATTTGTAGATAACTGACCCCAAAAACCTGCTCAAATAGTTAGTTTGTAAGGATAATAATAATTTGATTTAAGTGTTCATTATCCAAAAACTGCCTGACAATAATATCTTTAGATAAATAAAAAGTAATAAAACACTGCCACTATAGAAGTGTAAATGTTGACCATTTGCCTTATGTGTCTCCGTTTATACTGAGATGAGAATAGCATAGAGCAAAATCCCCTAAACATAAGACCTGATAATGAGAGTCTCCACAGCCCACACCACAAATTGAGTTATATTAGAATAAATGTATCAGACTCAGCTCGTTTTTGTTGTCTGTGTTTTGACTGAATCTGCTGAGTTCTTGTGTGTTTTTGTTTGTTTTTATTTTTGATTGTTTTTGTTTGTTTGTGTTTATTTACTTTATTTTTGTTTGTTTATTTTTTCCCAGGATAGAGGATAAAATCCACTGATATTGATTTGATGATTATGAGTTTAATGCATACATTTTCTTTGTTTTTTAATAATTTTGTAAAGTTTTTTTTTTTTGATTTTTTTTTTCTTTTTCCACTTTATTGATTGATCAAATTGAGTGATCACATGTGATTATGTGATCAAAGACGAGGGTGTTAGTATTAGATAGCAATATGGCCTACGTGCAGGACTGTACAAGGACTCTACAAGGACTCCATGTTATGACTATGATTTGACTGTCTCTTTGTGACACGTATGTCTTTCGATGTGTGACGTGACAATGACTATATAAACTGTGTACTGCCTTTATTCTGTCTGAGAGAAAGAAACAGAGTAAACCAGTGGAACTTGAGAGAAACTTAAATAAACTTCCAGAGTTTGGCACACCACGATCCGTCTCTGTCTGCTAAATCCTAACAATAGGAATAAATGGACCAATGCCACAAGCAAAAAAAGTAGTTGTATTTAGTATTTTTACCGGGATCGTTCATAGTAGGGTGGAGTTGTAAATATTCAATCTGCAACTTCTGTTATTGTCACAACTGTCTAAGAATGTTTAAGATAACCGTTTTATCCATTCACTACTGGTTTTCTTGCCCATCTAGAATTGTTCACTTTGCCCTAGAATTAACCGCAAACATATATCAGCAATAACAACACACAGGATCGAACACAAATGGGCTGAAGTGCACTGAAAGTTATTATGAGCATCTTATATTGGTTGATTATTGCCCCATTTAAATCTAAATTATAGTCACACAATAAAGACAAAAATATGCACGTTTAAAATCTCACTAGAGAGTAGATCAGATTTGTAGAACTGTTGACACTAATCATGGACTTGAGCTGAGTTTAGACCGTTGTGATTTACAGTCTATATTTTTACCCTATTACTCATGATGTATTGTTGCGTCCTACAGCCTGAGTCCTAAATCGGATTTGGACTTAACTTGTCTTAACTTTTCCGGACATTGGTTTATCCGCTCCCCATGGACCAATGTCTTCTATACATTTGTTATTATTGCATTTCCTCTGTTCTGATTCTCTGATCTGTTGTTGAGTAAAAGTCCTTCGAATTGACTGCTGTTGAAAATTTGGCCTATACCAAAAAGAGATTCTCAAAGTATCCTCTATGATGACTTCTGAGTAGCATCCCTAGTGTTGTGGCAATGTGGCTTCGCAGCAACAATGGCATCGGTTCAATTCCTGTGTCGTCCTGAGCCTTTTCTCTGTTGAATTTCTTTGTATCTTGTTGTGTCTGAGTGAGGTTCCTCCAGGCGCTCCGATTTCCCCTATCCCTTAAAACATGAGCCAGATGTAATATCCACCAGTGGCACCTCTGGCTCTGATCGTGCTTAGTCCTGACTTTTTGTGAAGAATTAAGTCCAACCTGCTATTTGCAATTCTTGGTGGTTAGATTGCCATTGCCACAAAAGGGCTGAAGTTCAGGCAGGCAGTAAATGGAAACTTGAGCGCGTTGAATATTTCTATCAAGATTCCCAATGAGTAAAAACATAACAATATGAGGTGTCACAAGCCATCTGTCAAACCTCATCCACATTGAGAGGTCATAATGTTTAATATGAAAGGTGTTACAGCAATAATGTTAATGATTTTTGTGCAGGTTCCAGATTCTCTTGCATGACTAGACCGGTCTTGACTTTGTCTGATGGACTAAAGACGGCCGGGTGTTCGTGTGTGGACTCTGGGAGGGTTGCTAAGGAAACGGATCTGCAGAAAAAACATTGCAATCTGTTGTAAATGCACTTTTTCCACGAAGATGTGCTAATCCAGCGTTCTCAATGCACAGCAGATGCACTCGCCGACCTGAAGCTATAGACTGGAGACGGCGTGCATCTAAAGCATCCAATGTTTGCTGGTGTCTAATTAAGCTGAAATGACCATGTTGTTTTATTGAATGGGGTAGAAGTCGAGGTAAAAAAAAAGGGGGCAAGGGAAACAATTCAGACGGTTGACCTATCAGTTTAAGCTCCCCGTTATATGCAGCATACAAAATATGTGTATAGTGATATTTCATTTATTTGAATATTTCAAACCTGTGTGCTCTCATATCACACATAAGAAACAAGCATTTTTAGTGAACTTAAAGATTACTTTCAAAGCAGCTAAATAAATAGGATGCAAAATAAACAGTTAGGATTAGATGGGACTAGTACACATTGTGAGTGTAGGAATGAAGAGAGCACTCAAAACATTTTGGGAAAAATGTGTTTTGTTTAGATATGGCAACAGATGTCAATACTCTTGGGGTAGCTAATTTGTTCCTCATAAATATTCCATTATGGTTTGTTCTAACAAAAAGAGTGAAAGAAATAAATCAGGCAAAACCACATCTCCTGAACGGTAGCTTTGATATTGCAACTATCAATCAATCTGAACCACTATTTAGATTGAAGTCCAAAAAGTTTACAAAAGTGCATATTTTACTAGTATATATTTTACTGATTTTTATGCAAATGTTCTTGTTTTAATTGATATTGATGTTCTTGTATCTACAATTACAGGTTATTTGTTTGAATGGCAGAATAAGAAAAATTTAGAGCACATGAAAAAATGAAAAAAAAAAAAAAAAAAATCATAACAGTGAAAAAGGTCCAGGACAACAACAAATAGAAATCAAAGAAATTTATAAGAATTGCAATAAAATGGCTATTATAATGCAGATACAGTATATGAGTATTTTCAGTGAACATAGCATGATAGCACACCAATGCTACGTTATTCTAACCAATGCATTTTACAATCCACAAGGTCCAAAAGGAGGGTCTTGAAAAGTAAAATGTCTTCATCTTAATGGGTGATAAAACATGTTATTCAGACTTCGTGAGTGACTAAGCATCTACAGATGTTACATCTGTTGGCCAAAAAATATTTGAATGACAAGACAGTGACACAATTAAACTGTGCCATAGCTATAGGGAGCTGGTTAGGGTATGTCATTTGAAAGTTAGGTATTCCAGCTTTATTAAAATAATAATAAAGTTCTGATGGATAGCATGTGGTTCTAGTTAATCGCTTTAATGATAATAAACATGTGATTTTATAATTTTGCTTTGAAAGGACACAAACATTTTCAGTAAATCGATCACCTAAGTTATAGTTTTGATTTTTGTCAAATTTGATTCAATATTTGTGACTTAAAGTACAAAAAAAGGCCGATGGAACCGCATACGATATTGTTTTTTCCCTTATGTCTGACGAAAACAACACTAAACAAAAGTGTAAAAAAAGTATAAACAAAAGGGGTCTTGGTCTAGTTTGGGTATCTGCAAGTAAAACTCATATGGTCAGCAATATTACGCCATTGACCGGGAGTATGACGCAAGTATCTGACGCAGTGAACCCTGGCCTGTCCTCCGCTCCACCTCTGCCCATTCACATGTCTGTGAGCGAGCTCCACTCGGCTCTACTCACGGCCCCACTGCCTAATCGCCTTAACACCGTCAGGGGGGCGGGGCGAAGCCTGACCGACACTTTCCACCTCTCCCCACCCACTCTCACTTACGCTCATTCCCAGGACTCTACTCTGCACACACTTTGGAACCCTCCATGGGCTGCTGCACGTATGGCCGCCCCGCTGTCCCCCAGGAGCGCTCCGGAGGTGGCCCGCGTCCATAGGGGAATGTCATGACTGGTCCCACGAGGAGCAGCCTTCACGCGGCCTTGGTTGTTCTCTCCGTGGCCCACCTCTCCGCAGGTGCGTCTCTCCAGTGTTCTTATTAATGAGTAACAGTGGCATGTGAGGGTTTTGTTTTACTGCGCCTGTGTTCGCCGGGGTTTGGAATAGCAGCATATAAAAAGTTAATAATTAAATGTATGGTCCGAGGTGCCTTCACAGACACTGTTCACAGAAGATTGGACAAGCAGCTGACCATGTGGGCTTGTGTTGTTCTGTTGACAGATCAGCAGGAATTCTAATCATCTATAGTCTGTAATTCTCAGGCATATTTACTAAGATTTTATCTATGTATTGTAAATGTTATTAATCTGGTGTTCAGGCTGTGGCCTACTGTGACAATTAATGGGTCTTATTTGGTCATTTAGTCATGTTACTTGTAAACTAAATATAGTCTTTTTGTCTTATTGTGAAATATTTTGAAAGTTTGAAAAAATATATATTGATGATGATTATTTCTGCGGAAATTATTTATGAACAAGGTCCTACACTTCTTTAAATTGATTAAATGCACAAATGTTACAGGTCGCCATTTACAGTTTGTTTAGAGGCTAGAGAATATGCTTTATTAGGATTTAAATAATGAGAAGGACCATGGTGATAAACAATTCAAAACAATGTATTATATATGAAAATTCAAATGTTGCCTGTTCATATAAATGTGAGCTTCCTTCTCTCACTCATCTAGTTGGAAAGAAGGCTTTATTTTCATAATTTGTTCATAATATGTTTGTAGAGCACCTGGTTATTATAATGTGATTTCATTAACTTAATTGACCCAGTGACTCACTCCTCTAAATCTCACTCACAAAAGCGTATCATAATATCTTTTTAATGAGAAAAAATCCTCAAAATGTTGCTAAAAAACGGAAGCTGAAACCCAGGGCAGATTCAATGATTCCTCCTCATTATGCATTGGCTTGAATAGAGCAGTGATGCACCAGAAAGACACTTTCAGAACAGTATCCCACCACAATTTGTTATTCATATCACTACTTTGTGTATAATCAGTTCAAACTGCATGGCAATAGATTCATAACCGATAAAACACAAATGTTTAAGTGGACACATGGAAGATAACCCCTTCAATAAAATCACCATTAAACTTCCATTTGTTTAATGACTAAATACATTTTTCTTTTCATTTTAAAATATTTACGAACATGTAAACATTCAAACACACACACACACACACACACACACACAGGTGCTGGGCAGAAACTAAGATACAGTGCCTTGGCGTGCAATATTATTCGGCCCCCTTGCGCTAATACTTTGTAGCGCCACCTTTTGCTGCAATTGCAGCTCCAAGTCGCTTGGGGTATGTCTCTATCAGTTTTGCACATCAAGAGACTGGAATTCATGCCCATTCTTCCTTGCAAAACAGCTCGAGCTCAGTGAGGTTGGATGGAGAGTGTTTGTGAACAGCAGTCTTCAGCTCTTTCCACAGATTCTCGATTGGATTCAGGTCTGGACTTTGACTTGGCCATTCTAACACCTGGATACGTCTATTTGTGAACCATTCCATTGTAGATTTGGCTTTATGTTTTGGATCATTGTCCGGTTGGAAGATAAATCTCCGTCCCAGTCTCAGGTCTTTTGCAGACTCCAACAGGTTTTCTTCCAGAATGGTCCTGTATTTGGCTCCATCCATCTTCCCATCAATTTTAGCCATCTTCCCTGTCCCTGCTGAAGAAAAGCAGGCCCAAACCATGATGCTGCCACCACCATGTTTGACAGTGGGGATGGTGTGTTCAGGGTGATGAGCTGTGTTGCTTTTACGCCAAACATATCGTTTTGCATTGTGACCAAAAAGTTCGATTTTGGTTTCATCTGACCAGAGCACCTTCTTCCACATGTTTGGTGTGTCTCCCAGGTGGCTTGTGGCAAACTTTAAATAAGACTTTTTATGGATATCTTTGAGAAATGGCTTTCTTCTTGCCACTCTTCCATAAAGGCCAGATTTGTGCAGTGCACGACTGATTGTTGTCCTATGGACAGACTCTCCCACCTCAGCTGAAGTTATCTGCAGTTCATCCAGAGTGATCATGGGCCTCTTGGCTGCATCTCTGATCAGTCTTCTCCTTGTTTGAGATGAAAGTTTGGAGGGACGGCCGGGTCTTGGTAGATTTGCAGTGGTCTGATACTCCTTCCATTTCAATATAATTGCTTGCACAGTGCTCCTTGAGATGTTTAAAGCTTGGGAAATCTTTTTGTATCCAAATCCGGCTTTAAGCTTCTCCACAACAGTATCTCGGACCTGCCTGGTGTGTTCCTTTATCTTCATGGTTCTCTCTGCGCTTTAAACAGAACCCTGAGACTATCAAAGAGCAGGTGCATTTATACGGAGACTTGATTACACACCGGTGCATTCTATTTATCATCATCAGTCATTTAGGACAACATTGGATCATTCAAAGATCCTCACTGAACTTCTGGAGTGAGTTTGCGGCACTGAAAGTAAAGGGGCCGAATAATATTGAACGCCCCACTTTTCAGTTTTTTATTTGTTAAAAAAGTTTAAATTATCCAATAAATTTTGTTCCACTTCACGATTGTGTCCCACTTGTTGTTGATTCATGACAAAAAATTAAAATGTTATATCTTTATGTTTGAAGCCTGAAATGTGGCAAAATGTTGAAAGGCACTGTAAAATATGAAAATCAGCACCAATGAAAAAATGATAGCTCTGGGAAATTTCATAATATTATAGACATTGTGAATTTGCTTCACCACTTTTTATTCAATTTATGCCATTAAAGTCCATTATTGTTCCCAGCATTATTATAACTCAGTTGAGTTTAGTAGCAGTGAGAGGCTGATAACTGCATCGTGCTCTGATGCTGGTGCACTTATTATTGCCTAATACTAACTTTTAAAACATTATTGAAGGCAATCAGTGCTGGCTAATCTTTCCACTGTGTTTATTATATCCCTGCTATCAGTTTTTAATTTATGAGGAATATTATAAATCTGTTTGAAGACTTTACAGTATTTTTACACATTCAAATTGGAGATAAACCATGTACAATGTAATGTGTATGGCCTAAAGTTGATATTAATGACAAACTAAGACATTGATTCGTAAATAATGTAAGAAGTTTTCATAGGTAGAGTTGTGTACATTTAATTGAGATTCAGTCGGTGAATGCTGGAGTCTATTTAATCTGTTCTATTATGATGTAGGTAATCTGTTTATACACAAACACACACGTGCACACACACATGCACACACACGTGCACACACACGTGCACACACACGTGCACACACACGCACACTTTACTACCACTTTAAGAGCCCGCCAAAGCTCCTCAGCAACGGTAATCATGATCAATATGAAGACACACAATTAAAAAACATGAACAATTGAGCATGTTTTGTTCAACATCCTGCCGTACAATAGACCTTTAAAGCAAGATTATAATGCAAACTTTAAGTTCACGGTTTGTGCTCAATGTTGCGCGCTGCTATGGTGACCACTTAGGTGGAGTGACGTGGAACCTGAAACAGAGTTTACTTTGTAATCCTCACTGAACATGGGATGATGTACAAAATACATTCACATAAAGAACAGCAGGGTGAAGATTAGTTTAGCTCGTATCGAAACATTATTCTCATACCACCTGAGTTACTAAGCAACTATTTCTGCAGAATGAGACATGTTGACCCCTTCAAGAAGCACTTCACCTTCACGATGATCGTCTTCCATCCTAAACAGTTTTATACTCTACGTCACAGCAAGCGGTCGCTGATCAATATTTAGGTGAAGTTCTTCTCAAGATGATTGTTGTTGCAACTTTTTATTTTAAATCGAAGCAAAATACTCTGTTTTGTTGCAAAATGTATAAAACAGTTTTGACGAATGTCTAAAGTAAAGGGTTTAGTGTTAGAGTACGGTGGGTTTCAAGGTGGTCTACATCTGTGTTTCCCAACTGGGGGCACGGGCCCCTAGGGGTATACAGGGGTATTGCATGGTCTACTTGATATTATTACCAAGTATTCTATCAACTTGATAGAATGAGGTTATGAGGTTTATGTGGGCTACCATGACATGTTATACATTAGTTTAAATCTAAGTATTTAAATCTTGAAAACAACACATTTATTTTATTATATACATTGTACATTGATGTAATTAGTAATAATTTTTAGGCTTGTTATTCAAACTGTTTGGTTTTGGTTCAGCCCAAGCATGAACTCATTTTGTTCAGAAAATTAAAACATGAAAAAAGTTCAATAAAAGCAATAGTTTAATGTAACAAAGAAAAAACAGAAGCAAAACAATAGCTGAAACCCGACCTTGGATGATGATGAGCCGTTGGGAGAACCAAATGTATGACAACCCTACATGAAAGATTTGTATTTCCTTAACAGGGGGTCTAGGGAGTACAGGGGCCCTGCCTATGCTGACGAGGGGGTACGCAGGGCAGAGAGGATGGGAGCCGCTGGTCAACATCATAACAACATCTAAAAAGTCATTAATGATAACATGTTGTCTGTTTACTCGGCTGCAGGGATGTGTAAATAAATATAAATAGTATATAAAGAAAGTACACAATGTTGATGTGTCTTATCCCGTGAGTCAGTCGCACAGATGCAGCGTGGGCCACGAGGACGAGAACACAAGATTACCTGGTGTTAATCTAAGCAGCATTACCCGTACAGCTTTGGCCGCTTAAGAGACAGTGTACATTACATAAACTACATCCCCAAAAAATAATGTACATTTGAAGAAATGACATCTGTGTTTTTCATGGTGAGATTCTCTTCCGCTTTATCTGTGTCCGGGCATCACACACACACAAAGTCAGGACGTCACTTATAGCCATAAACATCAAATTAGCATGATTATTCTCCATAAAGTTAGAAAATGGACATTCTACCGCAATATGTTTGTTAGAAAGGAATGGTTTTTAGTCACTTAAATACATAATACTTAGTAAAACTGTATTTTTGTTTTCTTTTTTTTTTACACCTTTTTAAAAAATGTTTTAAATAAAACATGCCTTGTCAAGTTTGTGGAATAAAAAAACACAACTTGACCATAAATAAATGGGATTTGGCCTGTGTTTAAAACTTTTTAGAGAACTTACAAACCATCTTTTTAAATACATTTTTCAATAACGTTTGAAGTATGGAGCTTGTGATTATGTGGAAGGTTGCTCACAAGTTGGTTTCAGAACACATGCAGTAGAACAAACATAAACTTCTTTGTGATGTTTTCCTGTATTTTACTGAGGTATATTCATTTTTCTGGTGTCAGACTCTGTATTGATTGGGCAAACATATTTTCACTCATTCGCCTTTGTTTTTCTTTTTACATTAAGGCCTATTCATTTAATTGTTTCCTAATATTAGTGAATTATACTTTTGCTTTTTACTGTCTGTTTATGCATGAGTGCTGCTGAGCTACATGGAGCCTGAGCCACTGGGTTATAGTGGTGCCACCTGCATGTGAGAGCCTGATCCTGGCAGATTGATGAAGCTAAGCAGGGTCAGGGCCTGGTTAGTTCTGTGATGGGAGATCTCAAGGAACTGATACTAGGGTGTCACAGTGCTGCAGCTGTAACTGTTGTTGGGTCCTTAGGCAACACACTTCACCCACAGTGAATATGATACTAGTTTGTGCAAGCAAATGATTGGCTGTAGTTGGAGGGGCCAATGGCACAGGCTGGTTTGCTTCCTTCTATCTATCTACCCCAGGGCATCTGTGGCTACTGTAGTAGTTTATTACTACTGTGTATGGAGTGAATTGATTATGTCATGTGAAGCTTGCATTCACATTCACCAATGCATTGCTATATTATTTTTAGAAAGTGGGAAGGGTCCACCTCTACTATATTGCCTCCAGATGGATATACTGTATTTGTCCTGGGCATCAGAGAAACAAACATAACACATGCATAAACAGATACAGGACAACAGATGTACAAATGATGCACATTGATAAAACTGAGAGCTTCACCAAAAGAAAAAGGCTTTGCACATAAACATCCACATGGGCTTTTGCACGCCGGCATGTGATGTTGCATTCATCTTAATGACTTGATAATATGAATAAATAGTGTTTTTCCCCCTCATGTACACTAAAAATAGGTAGTTAGGTTTATAAATTTGGCATGTGACCTACGGCTTGGCTTTGTGGCATTACTTTGTTTCTCTTGATGAGAGATTGTTAGGTTTGTACGCTGTTGCACGTTGGCGCAGTGGTTAGCGCTTGTGCCTCACAGCAAGAAGGTTCTGGGTTCGATTACACCTCCAGGTCTTTCTGTGTGGAGTTTGTATGTTTTTCCCGTGTCTGCATAGGTTTCTCCTACCACTAAAATATGTACAATAGATCTGGCATGCGCCTCTTCTTGAGAGTGAGAGACAAATGTGACAGCAATTGTTAACGCTTTGTGACTCTGATCTGTGAAAGGTGCTACTTAAACATTACTCACTTTCTTAACATTTCAGCCAAAGCAAGAAAATTACAGAGTGCACCTTTTATTATAGTAAATATGCAGAACCAAAAAAAATTGCTGTTTTAATTCTTTGTGTTGATATGTATCTTAAAATCGAGTTACTTCACCCAGTAATGTGTATCTATGAAGAGTAGAATGACCTACAGTAATGAGGTGTTTTCCTCTGCTCTCAGCTCTGAAGTGCGTGTGCCAGCTCTGTGCCAACCACACCTGTGAGACGTCTGCAGATGGAGCCTGTTGGAACTCCGTCATGTTGATCGACGGGAAGGAGGAGGCGGTCAAGTCCTGTCTGAGTCCGGCTGAGATGAGAGGCCAAGTCTTCTGCTACGGCTCCAGGAATGTATCAAAGAGAAACTGCTGCTTTACCGACTTTTGCAACAATGAGACGCTACATTTGCACATAGGTCAGTCCTACAGTCTGTGTTTTTACTGCATGTTTGAAATGAATCCCATGAATAAATAGGCAGGTGGAAATGAATCTTAAGGCTGAATACTTATGAATGGTTTAATTTATTATAGATCAGTGTCCAGATTTAAAAATGCCACAATCTTTAATGAAAATTCTTTTGTTTCATAGATCACTATTATATATAAGACTAAAGATAAACATTTATAATCTGAAATTAGCACAAAAATGTAAATTAAGCGGTAATGCCTTATTATCCTGCAAGCTAAGATGACATAAAATATATAAAAAACCAGTATTTAAGAAATTGCCATACAGCCAATAGTTTTATTCTCCCTTATAAATCTTGCTACAATGTAATTTGTTGAGAACATTAGAGGTTTGCTCATAATGGCACAGATAGATTCATATAAATTCAACCTAAGGCCTTGGACTAGGGGCAATGTGCCAATAAATATAAATAAAGTAAGACAGTGAATACATTCTTTTCAATTTTTTGTCATTTCTGTAACAAAATGTCATCTTTACTGCTCTTTTCATAATTTCTCATGAACCGCAGGCTAGAGCAAAGCACACCAGAAGATCCTCTAACACGATACTAACATTTCAAACTTGGTTTCCATACTAATAATTTGACTCAATATCACTGATTTTAAGATGCTCTTTTCAGACGTTTTTTATTTTTATTTTGTGTGTGTAAGTAAACGTTATTTATATATCACTTTCACAGACCAGAGTCGTTAAAACTTCCAACATTTTTAAAATATATGCAGGCACACACTTGATTAGGATAAATATTAGGTATGGGTCAAAATGTGTCTAAAACGTTTTCACTGATGGGCCAAGGTCACATCAGTGCGCTATATAAATAAATATTACTTACTTTCATACTAGTGATACCTTGGATAGGATGCTTTTGACTCAAACATTGTCTGATCAACACCCCCTTGTAAATACTATTCGACAAGACGAGGAACAAAGCCAATTGCACTTTTATCCTAGCTTTTTTTAAACTTTCCAATCCTTCTTAACACTCGAGTGATCAATATGTTTACATCATTTGTTATCTCAGTAGAACTTGTATTACCGATTAACTTTCACCTCTACACATCTACAGCTGTCGATAACTGTAAAAATAGCACTTTAATTAATAATTTCCTGAAATGTGAAATTCCAATCATTGTTTAAAAATAGTGAAAATGGCTTGATTGTGATGCAGTAAACAGCAGCCGTTCAGTCGGTGTGGGGAGATCCCGGGCGAGAGGGCGAGGCGGGTGAGGTAGACGCTGATCCGACTAGATCCTGTGACATAACAGGACCAGGACCCCCCCTCCCCCACAGCAGGTTTATAAATACACAGAAGCCATTGGGGTTGTTCTGACAGTGTGAATGGAGAGGGAAAGTAGGCTTTACTGAGCCAGACAGTGTGGATAAACAGCTAATGCTCCTTATGTTGTTGCTAGATTTAACATGATATAAGCATCGCTGCCTACTATAGTGTTTCACAATCAGGAGTACGCGGACGCCTAGAGCAGGAGCTTATGTGACATCACAACACTGTGAAGAGCCTATTGTTTATAACAGAGGGCAGCTTAAAAATCAGACGGTCACAAAAACTATCACAAAGTTCAGCATCTTCTTTTTCAGTGCAAATACATATACTATGCTTACACTATGGCCTAGTTAATTAAATGTGTCTAGAAGTGGTGACAATTTAGAAAAAAACATATGCATGATGTTGGCCAGAAAGGACTTCCAGACATATGAATATTATGGCGGGTTGGTGAATCGAATCGCTGTCAAATAATGATCTGGGAAAACATTTGGACATTTTCTTTTTCAACTTTTCTTTCAAAAACGGTCTTTCCCATAGAGTTGTATTGGCACCTGCTGAAAAACACAAATATTACAGATGTCTGAGAATGGTGGATTTGAATAGTATTTTAATAACAATATAAAGTTATTTGTATTTTTAACATGAATATATTGTGGTTGCAAAATTTGTGAATAAGCAAACACTAAGCTTATCATAAACAGAGAAATAATAACTAAATAAAGATCAGTTAGTGATACACTGAACATTTAGGGGTTCCAGGGGTTCTACTTTTCATATTGTTTCATCTATATTCAACAACACACCAGTGTAACATTTATTGAAAAGATTAAACATAATTGTCAAAACTGATTAAAGTTTCATAATGATAGTGACGTGCAAAAGGTACGGTACTTTCTTGCTGAGGGACAGTAGACAAGTATTGCGGGGTTAATGTACACTTATCATGTTGATTTACACTTTGATCATGTTGTAAGTATTGGCTCCCAGTGTAGAGCAAATATGGAGTCTAGAATGTAGACAGTATGCAACAGTGTTTTGAACCTTGGATATTTCCTGGAAGCAAGACCTCCATAAAAAGACCATTAAACGGAACACTATCTGCCGCTGATTTTGTGAAGTTGATAGCTTGTCTCCAAACCTTATTTTACCATGGCACCACCTCTCCTGCTGTTAGCTTCTGTCCACCCACTCGCTGTGAGAAGGTCACGGACTGCGGCCTACTGTAAGGATTTTTCTGCATGTCTCACCAAAACAAACAGCTCAGTCAAGTTTGCAATGATAAAGCACTTTGCATATGTGCTGCAAATGGGTTAGGGATTTACCCCCTGGCTAATTGAAGATTTGCTTTAAATATATTGTTGTTTTATTGTATATATTTTGCACTCAGATGAATATTTGCATACAATTGTACATGCGATCAGAGTTCCTTCTCTGCCTTATAAAAGACATGATTTGAATTGGTCAAAACCTGCTGTAATGAGGTATACAACAGCAATGCTTTTTAGGTCACAATCCTATTCATAATGTAATGTTTGTTTTAATATCTGCATTTACCTGATACAGTTTTACCTACCATTCATTTCTACTGTCCTTATAAAAGTGTTGCTTTTTGAGAGGACAGAGATGTTGTATCAGAGAGTGCAGAACTGCTCTGAAATGGCATTGTCTAATAATGGCCACTAGAGGAAGCTGTGCACAAACTTTCACCAACAAATCAAAAAGAACATATATAAATTTGACTCTTTGACATACACTAGCCGTGCCTTTTGATTTATACACATTGAAAACAGTTGTTATGTTCTGCAATTGAGGCTTCAGTCTTATACTTGCCTTTTGTGTGTACATGATGCCATATAATAAACTGATTTCAGATCAAACACCTTCAATCAATCAAAAAAGGGCAATTCAAAGTGCTTTACATGAACAGATTGTAGCCATTTTTCAACATGGACATAAAACAATGAAATGCACAGGCTTATCATTAGGTTATCAACAGGTTAATGACGCTGGTATTGCTGAACAAAATCTAAAATGATCTATGTGTGGTTATAACATTTATCTAATACAAATCCTCACATGTCTGTAACTTACCATGGTGTAGTGTAAATGCTGGTGTCCTAACAGTTTGTTTTTTCCCCCATTTGTGTCCAGAGCGTCCTCCAGAAGAGGGGGGCTGGGGCCGGCTGCACTGGGTGGTCCTGGTGCTGCTTCTCTCTGGTGCCCTGTGTGTGGTCCTGGTGCTGCTGCTGGTGTGCGTGCTGCAGGGCCACAGGTGCACGTACAGCCGCGCTCACAAACAGGACCCTGAGGAGCCCCTGGACGACCAGACTCTGCTGTCCCCTGACAAGTGTCTGCAAGAGCTCATTTACGACATGAGCACCTCTGGGTCTGGCTCAGGTGAGACTGGAGAATTGTAGAGAAATATGTCCGTAACTATTAGCCATAATGGATGCAGCCTTCATGTGGCCAAAAGAGATTTCAGTGGTGGACAATGTTTTACACACAAACAACACATGAAAAAAATAATCTTCACATGTTCCACAGTTTGATTCAAGCTTTATACTTGTAGGTACAAATGAACAGGAAATGTTGTTGCCAGTGGCCTTGCATCTTGAATCTTGTTGATCCTGCTGTGAAAGCATCAAACTCCTTCTTCTCTTAACGGTGCATTGGACACAGATCAGTGACGTTACGGGAACTGAAACAATGCAATAAGTGGGATCACGTCTTAAGATTCAGTCTGAAATTTGAAATAATTGAATCCTGACTCTTGACTCCCTCCTTTCACTCTTCCAGGTCTCCCGCTGTTGGTGCAGAGAACCATCGCACGCACCATCGTCCTGCAGGAGAATATCGGGAAGGGCCGTTTCGGAGAGGTGTGGAGGGGCAAGTGGAGGGGGGAGGATGTGGCTGTGAAGATCTTCTCCTCCAGAGACGAGCGTTCTTGGTTCAGAGAGGCCGAGATCTACCAGACTGTGATGCTCCGACACGACCACATCCTGGGCTTCATCGCTGCTGACAACAAAGGTGACACAGGCTCGGTTTTCTGAGGATAATAAATTGGGATGATAAAAAAAATGTTACACTGCTTGTGCATACCTAATTCAAACTCCTTACCACAACCACAGGATTCGATTCACTTCAATAATAAGACGGATTCAGACTCTTACAATTTCTCATTAAATAGTGTCATAATATCCTATCCTATTACGGTCACCTGCAGCTGATCAACACTCCAGCCAAACTGCATGTCACCACTGCATTCTTAATATTGTTGTATACATTGCTCATCATCATTTCAAATTGTGTTGTGATTCTGGGATTTATTAATGTGATAAAGCGTTTTTTGTATATATATTATAACCTTTAAATAAATATCAAATATATGTTATGTAAAATTTCATGTATATTGTTGTGTTGCAGACAACGGCTCGTGGACGCAGCTGTGGCTGGTGTCCGAGTACCACGAGCACGGCTCCCTGTACGACTACCTGAACAGATCCACGGTGTCCGAGGAGGGCATGATCCTCCTGGCCCTGTCCATGGCCAGTGGCCTGGCTCATCTGCACATGGAAATCATAGGCACACAGGGTGAGCATCATCTCATAGTACATTTATGATGAAATAAAGTCATCTCCTTCAACCTTCAACATGTAACATTTATTTCCTCTCGACTTGTTTTCAGGGAAACCAGCCATCGCACACAGAGACCTCAAGTCCAAAAATGTCCTTGTGAAGAAAAATGGCACTGCGGTGATTGCCGACCTGGGTTTGGCTGTGAAGCATGACTCTAGCAGCAACTCCATAGACATCCCAACCAATCACAGAGTCGGAACCAAAAGGTGTGTTTTCCCTCAACAATCTCAACATTTAATGCTTGGATTTTTAAGTTTCAAGCCACACACACAAACAAATCATGTATTAACTAGTTCCTTGCTCTCAAAACAGATTCAGATGCATGTAATTTAGACCTCTGTCACAACTCAAGCTTTTTCAAACAGAAGAATTCAAAACAGGACCACCCTCACTCAGTCCAAAGTGTCATGTAGTGACTCTCAAGGCCCTTTCTACAAGGATTTAGAAGACAACATGTTTTACCTTTAGGAAAATTCATTATGTTGTGCTCTGTGAACTCAACATTTTACTCTTCCTGTTGAGCAACAGCAAGAACATTTATGAAAAACAAAACATTTTAATCATAAATCATAAACTCAACATGACTTTTTACCCGACAAATACATATATAAATGTATAAATATGCTGTAAGAAATCACTAATAGTTAAATAATTACACTCTGTGGCAGAATATAAACCATAAACCAAAACATCTGTATTTCTAAAAGAATTAATCCTGTCCCTTTATCACTGTTTGAAAGTTTGCGTAAAAAATCATACAAAAGTGTAGTAGATCATCGAGCCAAGACAAAAAAGAGACAAAAACAACATTGAAATCTAAAATTGTATTATCAGAGGGCACCTAGCAGACAAAGCTGACATTTGAAACGGCCGTAGCGCGGAACATTGTTGATCGTTTTGCGCGGTTGCTGTGAATGAACTAAGATTAATCACGTGGCGCAAACTGATTACACTAATTGTCCGAGAGGCGCAGGGCTTTTCTCTTCATTATGGCCTAATTGTTTTGCCCTTTGCAGGTACATGGCCCCCGAAGTCCTGGACGAGACGATCAATTCCACAAACTTCGAGTCGTTTAAACGCGCGGACATGTATTCTCTGGGGCTGCTGTTCTGGGAGCTGGCTCGGCGATGCTCGGCCAGAGGTGGGTTAGGGAACTTTACTGTCGCTGTGGAGAAAAATGCATTGATTTTTGCAAAGTTGAGATGGTTTTTTTTTATTATTACAGGATTTCAGGAGGATTTCCAGTTGCCTTTTCACGACATGGTGCCTTCAGATCCATCCGTAGAGGACATGAGAAAAGTGGTGTGCGAGCAGAAGTTCAGACCCAACGTTCCAAACCAGTGGCAGAGCTGTGAGGTAGAGAAATGACTGCTACTATTGCTACTGCTGCTACTACTGCTACTGCTACTACTGCTGCTACTCCTGCTGCTACTGCTACTACTACTACTGCTGCTTCTACTATTACTGCTACTTCTACTGTTATTGCTACTATTGCTACTGCTGCTACTGCTACTACTGCTGCTACTACTATTACTGCTACTTCTACTGTTACTGCTACTATTGCTACTGCTGCTTCTGCTGCTGCTACTGCTACTGTTACTGCTACTGTTATTCCTACATCTACTGCCACTACTTCTACTACTACTACTACTAATTCTACTTCTACTGTTACTGCTGCTACTACTACTAATCCTACTTCTACTGCTACTACTACCATACCACTACTTCTACTACTGCTACTACTACTACTGCTACTACTACTACAATAGGAATAATGATGCAATGGTTGTACAGGTGTATAGCACTTCTCATGACACTCAAAGACTACAACTACTCAGACTCAGACTACTTTATTTATCCCACCAGGGGCAATTCGTTTGAGCAGCAATAATAATAATAGTAATAATACTAAAAAATAATAATAATTTGAAAAAAATAACAAACAACACAGGAAATAAACTACTACTATTACTACTACTTTAGAACTACTATTGTGATACTAAGAAACTCAATAACAGTGTTGACACCAAAGTAATAATAAAAATAAAAAAAGTTTTATAATAATTTTTCATGGAAACAAAGGTTATTTTTAATGGTATTAAGATTTTATGCTATATAAAATGAAAATACAAGAATCTCACGTTTTGTCCTGTTTGTCATCTCTCTCAGTTTCAAAATGACAATATAGTTTGGAAACTCTAGTCTTGATGAAATGTTGTATGTATATTTTCCATATAGACCCTGGGATTCTCCAATTCAATAAGCTGTAAACCTCAACAGAACATGATCTTAATTATAATTGATATCTAATTGATTTTCGTGAATTGTAAAAATCTGTCTGTACTAACACAGCCTGTTCTCTGGGCGTTTCCTCAGGCGCTGCGGGTGATGGGGAAATTGATGAGAGAATGCTGGTACGCCAACCCTGCCGCGCGTCTGACCGCTCTGAGGGTCAAGAAGACAGTCTCCCAGCTCTCCATCAACAGCGACGTCAAACTCGTGTAGCGTGAGCGTGGGCTGTCTGACACTGCCCTCTGGTGGACAAGCACTGCACCTGCATGTCAGAGCGTTTAATGTATACACAAAGGACTACCTCATGTTCTGAAGTGCCCAAAGCTTGAAGTTGCACGGCGTCACCCTTTTGTGCCATATGCAGCAAACCCAGTAGGGGAAGAGATAGAGAGAAAAAAAACAAAATTAAATCCACAAATGTGTAAATTGTGAAAATGACGGGCCGGGTTATAGAGAGATTCTTTTAGGTGTATTTGTGATCCGTTTGTGATGGAAGCATATAAGGGAATATTGGCTAAAAATAATGTATTTAAATGGTTAATTTTGGCCATACGCAAATTATTTTCTTGTTAAATGCTTTTGCCCAAATGCAAGGCTGTATTTTGAGGCGTGCTATAGTAAGCATAAATAATAAATGCAAGGCCGCTTAGGAATACAAAGAGAAAAAAGAACTGAATTGTTTTTGTTGTCTAGCCTGGCCCTTAGTTTCTCTATTACCATTGTAGATGCCTTAAATCTACTGATTGCATTTATGATAATTTTACATTCCCTGGAAACATGCTTGAGTGCACAGTCAGAAGCCACATCATAGTATGTATTAAGGGATAGAAGTTTGTAAAACACATATTCCTGTATTTATTTTTGTTATTTAAGTCGGCTTACTCCAGGGTAGTTCAGTCATGACGCAGCGTGTTGCCTCGGATACTCAAAACCTGTAGTTCTGTGCTCTGTGTGCACACTGTGGCTAAATGATTTTATTAGCTTTACAGAAGCAGTGTTATGGAACATGTCATGATGAGCGTTTTTTTTTTTTAATATCGTGTTACTATTTCTGTTTCTGTGAGAATCAGAGAGGTGGCACTGAAAAAGTAAAAGGAGAAGCTGCAAGCATTCCAAAGATGGGCCCTTCTATGTGCAATTTCTCACTGGTGTCTATTTTTATACTAAATAGTAGAGGTATTAATATAATTGTTCTGCTGCTGCTGCTGTGCAAAGGTGATTTAGCGACCTGTGAAATGTCTAGTTTCTCATTTATGACAAATTTGAACTGTACCACTCAGATGTGAATTTCTTGTCGTTGCCACATGTTCTATTTATTCTGTACAGAGTATATATATAAATATATATGATACAGCAGAGTCAATAAACTGTTAATGACATTTTGTTGTTGCTGTTACATTTCTGATGGTTAATAATAACAAACTGGGAAAGACATAGCTGCGCTGCAATGGTGCATGTTAAAGCCTTTCTCTACTGAGCTATTTAAACGTCACTTAGTCGTCTAGCTTCTTGTCATCTAAAGTAATGCATACATTCAACACATATACTAATACATGTAGTACTGACTGAATAGTATGGGCTTTTAAAGTATAGCTAAATGTATAAACCGTTTAAAACAGTGGCCAACATTGATACGAGTTTGAGTACATTCTGAAACCACACATCTATCTCAGCTGCTGTGTTTTTACCTGAAGTGACGCAGATCTTTTCCTGCACTTGTTTATTCACAGCAATAGAACCGTTAGATTAGATGGAGCTCAATGTGAACCAGGATACCATCAATACACAAATGAGTCAGCGGTGATTCTACTGTGCGTAAACATGAATGTGAGACGACGATGTGAAATCTTTCCATTTTCTCTGGTGCGTGAAATGAAAACGCTTGCTTAACTCTGCAACAACTGAACATTTCTATCGTCTTTAATAGATTGCCTCAAAGCTCAATAGTCAAATTTCAAATCATTCTTTGATGTCCATCCCAAATCACAACAAAGTATTGTGCGGACGCTGACATCTGAAATATAATCAATGCTGTGCCTTTTCTGAAAAGTGCAAAAATACATGAGTTTTTCTTTTTGACCAAGTTTGGAACAAGCCCAAAATGTAGAGCTGACTTTATTTTAATGTGGCTTATAAATATATATATATATACCTTTTCCTATTTTAAGCACAGATATCACATGTAAAAGGAGAATGGCTTTGTGTTTTTTTTTAAGTTGTGAAAGAATAATTCCTTCAAGTCATTTTATTTTTTCACAGTACACACACATTATTTAGGTCACCATCTGAACAATAGCAGAGTAAATGCGGATTTGTTCTGCGGTCAGGAAAAAGCTATGAATGTACAAATATGATTCATGTGGTTGTGAACATTTTGCAGTTCATTTAAAAATCCCGACACAACATAAAAATGCTTATATGATGAAAGCGCTTTGAAAATGAAGTGACATTGGCTCAAATAAAAAAATGTGAGTCTGTGTCCCAGACAGTCCCGTGGCAATCACTGCAGAGTCAGGCAGGGGCTGTCCCAAAATGTAATGGTGCAAGATTAGGTTAGACCAACACTTACTGTACGTGTGCTCAACAGTTTTTGTCCAGTAAGATATGACAATGTATCCATATTATAATTCACCTGACACTACTTTTAAAGTTGAGGTTTGGCTTGATGGAGCTAATTTAAACATAAAAACACACATATACCCCACTAAGCAAGCCGACGTTGAATCAACGTAATTTGAACGTCGTTGTCCGACGTAGAATATAGGTCACTGGTGGGTGCAGAATGAAAGTTTTCTCGACGTCGTTTCCCGACGTCACCTCAACCTCCAAATGTTACGTTGATGGCACGTCAATTCAAGGTTTGAATGTGGTACGGAACCGGTCGGGTCTGACGTCCTATCAACGTCTCATATGACCAAAATATTCACGTTTATATGACGTTCGTTTTCAGTCGTTCCCACTAAGCAAGCAGATGTCAATACAACGTAATTTCAACGTCATCTGGACGTTCATTCAAGGTTGCAATGTGGTACAGAACAGGTGTAACGCCGAGATACACTGTCTTGAAGAGATGCACTGCCTCAGCTGTTTATGATGTAATGCAAACCTGCGCATGCGCGTCTCACGGCAGCCGAAGCATACCAAGCATTAACTTGCTAAAAGTTGAAATACGAACGAATTAAGACACGAATGTCACTTTTAATGCAATTTGAGGCGAGATGTTGATGGTCCCGTTTTGTCACATGTGGGTTTTAAGAGTCAAAGTTTCGTGCAAAGTTTAGTTTAAGCAGTCAACTGCGCCTGTGAAACCACAAAGCTAATGTTTTCATAGCAGTCCGCGGCTGCTGACGTAGGCTGATGACGCGTCATTTTGTAACTCTATTTTAAATTTAAATTTATTCTTTAGAAGTGTTTTTTATTCTTATTTTTATTATCTCTTTTTGACTGTTGCACTGAGCCAAAGCAATTTCCAAGTCTGTGACCTCCCGTTACTTACGTTGGCAATAAAAATGATTCTGATTCTGATTAAACAGCCACAGTGAGAAGAAGTGAAAGTCTCTGACATTGAAGACCTGGGAAGACATTAAATCCATTTATTAAACAAAGCAATACATGAACATTAAACTCTCTTTCTGCAGCAGGTAAAATCTGTGTGCTCCTATGGTCCCACATGGTCCCACACCTGAACTCAACTCCAACTGATGACATCACAGGTGTCTAAATGATGGGAGTGTCCCAAATATTAAAGCTGATCTCCCTGTTTTTAAACTTAGTTTACTAAGTACTGTTGTCTTTTTGCAGTTTATAAACCATTGTGAAATATACAGTAACTTTACATTTTGTGCTATCCACTCAGCCACCGGGCGGCACGGTGGCTGAGTGGATAGCACTCTCGCCTCTCAGCAAGAAGGTCCTGGGTTCAAATCCCGGTTGGACTAGGGCCTTTCTGAGTGGAGTTTGCATGTTCTCCCCGTGTCTGCGTAGGTTTCCTCCGGGTGCTCCGGTTTCCCCTACCACTAAAAATATGTACAATAGGTCTGGCATGTGCCTCCTGTACTGGCCCCTCCCACTCCCAAAAAATAACAATTGTAAACTGCTTTGAGACTCCGATGTGCAGTGAAAAGGCGGTATATAAGATAAAATAAAAATAAAAATTTTAGAATTGAATTATTATTTTAAAACTCAAGAATCTTAACCTTTTTTAACACATAGTTTGTTGGACAGTCTAACCTAAGAATTCTAATGTGTTAAAAATAGTTTGAAATATGAAAAACAATATCATATTTTAAACTTTAACTTAAAAACAAAAAATCATAGGAAAAAGATAACAGATAAGTAATTCCAGATTAAAAGAAGCCGTGCAGATTTGTACATTAGAATAAAAAATATTCAAAAGCAGCTGAGAACAGGTGGGTCTTTAACCTGGATGTAAACAAACTGAGTGTTTCAGCTGATCTGAGGCTTTCTGGGAGTTTGTTCCAGACATGTGGAGCATAGAAGCTGAATGCAGCTTCTCCGTGTCTGGTTCTGACTCTGGACTCGGATCCAGATGACATGAGGGGTTCTGGTTGGTTCATAAGTTATGAACAAGGCACTCAAACAACACTTTTGCACATGTTCGTTAAGGCACAGCAAACAGTGACAATCTTATCTAAAGGCATTAGGTTTTCACCCTCACATTTGAGAAGCATATGCACAGGTACAGTTGAATGTAAGAATTTGAATTTGTTGCGCACAACACCAATAACCCTCTCAACGTGAATTCTGAGATGGAAGGTCTAATCTGAGGCGCATTACAGTCAATAGGACAAGCTGGAAGGGTGAGAGCTTCCTCATCCTTCCTTGAGGCAGCTGCTGGGCCGGCGATGGGGTCTGCTGGGCTTGGGCTGGCGATGGAGGCTGCTGGGCTTGGGCTGGTGATGGAGGCTGCTGGGCTTGGGCTGGCAATGGAGGCTGCTGGGCTTGGGCTGGCAATGGAGGCTGCTGGGCTTGGGCTGGGAGTGATGACTGCTCCAGATGCTGGGTACTGCGCTTTACTTGCCGCTGATATCGCGCTCCATCTGTTTCTTTAACATTATTGTGGCCTAACCGCAAGGATGGTGTCCAGTCAGGGTGATTCTCCAACATCTCATATGATGGTTTACCTAGAACAGAATAATGTATGTAGTCAATGCTTTAAACTGGCAACAAGGTAGCATAATGTCATGAACAGAATCTCAACTATTTTTAGCAATCTCATATAATGGTTTACTTACATCAGATTAATAAGATTATTAAACAATCTGGAATCTAAAGACATATTAAACAAGAAGGTAACGCTATTCATGGTTTCATAAAAGGGCTCAGGGGGTAGTGCCAACACAAGACAAAAAAAAAGTTTGGGCACCACTGGTTTAGAGAACATAAGAGACAGAGACAAACGCACTTTGAGTGCCCATATTCCACCAACAAGGTAGGATAATGAGCAGAAACTTAAATATTCTTAGTTAACATTAATGGTTGGCCATTAAGCATTTTCATAGAGGCAACAGTTTGTTAGATAGTTAGCTAGGCAGCTAACTTAAGATGCACTTCAGTGTTTGCAACATTAACAGCTAGGTAACCTACACTTCTTAACTTTAAAAAAACAACATAAAGACATTTTAGGACGTACCCGAGTGAAAATGCAGAGAACACACTCTCATCGACTGGGGGTGAGATCGAAAGTAAGGTCCTTTCTTCTTATTGCAGCCAACCAAGCCATCGGGCGTCTCTTCGTCAGGTCAGACACTTGCGCTCCCTGATGTTGTATCCATTTTGGTAGCCTAAACAATTGTAAACCGTTGTTCCTACGTTTTCCTTTCTTATTGTGTGAGGTACTGGAACAGTTTTTCACACAGCAATGAGCTCCAGGCATGGTAAAACAGAAATAGCGACGACCTCCTTTGCTACCGAGTTAACAACAACAAGTGTTTGCCGCTGGGATCCTACCAACATGGCGGAGACGGGGAGGGGCTCTGTGCTATGACGTCAGCTCCTCACTCTCAATAGATTCATGCACTGGCAATTCAAAATACAGATAATATACAAAATATACTTAACAAAATCCACGTATACGTGAGAAAACAACTTACTTTCTGTCTCCAACTCTTTTCAATGTGGAAATGATACATCTATATCTAAAAACTGTGCAGACTGTGTACTTACTAGAGAGGGTGATTCCAAGTAGCTAAATAAAGCAGGGCAGCGACAGAGGTACAGATTCAACGTCATATCAACGTCTGGGAAGGCATTACTTTACGTCCAGATTCACACCTTACGTCGTTTAGACGTGGAAAACAGGTCCTCGACCGAGCGACTCACGTGTCAGGCTGTAAAGCCGTTATACTCGCGCGGCGCATAAGTGTGCGTCGGTTGTTTAGGGTGTTATGTATTATTTTGTCACAGTAGTCTGGATAAATGCCTGTCCGTGGTGTAGCGGTTGCGTAATGAGACTTCAGTCCCAACGACGCAGGTTCAAATCCCCGTCGGAAAACTTTTGACTTTTTACTTTTTAGCGAACAATTTTTCTGTTTGGTTAAAAACGAATAAACACTCAACATAAGATTATGTAGTGGCTAATAATAAAACTTGTGAACCCATGCATTTGCATACAATCTCAAGTGCTCACCACTTATTTGCAAACTTGAGATTGTTAGCACAACAAATGCATACATTCACAAGTTTTATTATTAGCCACTACGTAATCCTATGTTGAGTGTTTATTAGTCTTTAACCAAACAGAAAAAAATTGTTCGTTAAAAATCAAAACAAATATGTAAAGATAATAATATACACATGTGGGCTCGAACTCACGTAACCAAGGCTGCACACATTTGCTTAACCACTACACTACCGTCAGGTACACTGAGATCGCTTCACAGCCTATATATTCTATTGCTAGATCAAGACGTACTGCGTCGGTCGGCCGATGACCTGTTTTCGACGTCTAAGGGAGGTCGGGATTGAACGTCATATCCACGTATATGGGAGGTCATTGTTTTACGTCCAGATGCGCACCTTGCACTTCGGAGCCCTGCAAGGGCCAGGGGTAAAAAAAAAAATAAACTGTGCGCACAGATTACTAAACTGTGCGCACAGATTACTAAACTGTGCGCACAGTTTAGTAATCTGTGCGCACAGTTTAGCAATCTGTGCGCACAGTTTAGCAATCTGTGCGCACAGTTTAGTAATCTGTGCGCACAGTTTAGTAATCTGTGCGCACAGTTTAGCAATCTGTGCGCACAGTTTAGTAATCTGTGCGCACAGTTTAACAATCTGTGCGCACAGTTTAACAATCTGTGCGCACAGTTTAACAATCTGTGCGCACAGTTTATTTTTTTTTTTACCCCTGGCCCTTGCAGGGCTCCGTATTGCACAGACGTCGTTTGGACGTAAATAAAAGGTCACGACCGACCGACGCGATATTGACGTGATCTGGAGGTTGAGTGGACGTCGGATGTTTAGTGGGACAGGTCAAAAACACACAGATACATACAAGTCAAAAACACACACATACATGCAAGTCAAAAACACACACATACATACAAGTCAAAAACACACACATACATACAAGTCAAAAACACACACATACATGCAAGTCAAAAACACACACATACATACAAGTCAAAAACACACACATACAAGTCAAAAACACACACATACATGCAAGTCAAAAACACACACATACATACAAGTCAAAAACACACACATACATGCAAGTCAAAAACACACACATACATGCAAGTCAAAAACACACACATACATGTAAGTCAAAAACACACACATACATGCAAGTCAAAAACACACACATACATACAAGTCAAAAACACACACATACATGCAAGTCAAAAACACACACATACATGCAAGTCAAAAACACACACATACATGCAAGTCAAAAACACACACATACATACAAGTCAAAAACACACACATACATGCAAGTCAAAAACACACACATAAATGCAAGTCAAAAACACACACACAAGGCAAGTTTATTTGTATAGCATAATTCATACAACAAAAAATGTTTGACCAAACAAGATAATACAAGGCTTTAAAATTATCAATGATCATGGTACATTAAAAAGAGTGAAGATAAAACCCCTCAGTTGTATGCACAGCTAAACAGAACTTATTCTTAACCTTGTCAGAGAAGAAGAAGAAGCAGAATAAATGAATAAATATGAAATGCTGCCTCCCCATGTTTAGTTCTGACTCTGGGCACCAGCAGGAGGCCAGTCCCTGTGCTCCTCAGAGTCCGAGTTGGTTCATATGGTACTAACATGTCTCAGATGTACTTTGGTCTATCTATCTATTCTAATTTAAGCTTCAGAGACCTATAAGAGACCAAACAGAGAAAAGAAAGGGAGTGAAACTCAGTCTTTCACACCAGTGCGGGGCAGATTATAGAGTGTCCCTTTAAACAGCTGGGCGTTCCTGCTCCCCCTCTGTCCCATCAGCTATTGTCCTTCTGCCCACTGGTCTGTGAGTCCTTTTCTCTTTTGATCTGAGCATGTCTGATGCTTTCCATGCAATGACCCATGCTGTCTGTTTGGGCAGCGAGCTAAAGCAGCCCTTTGTGTGCCCTCACAAGACTTGTCTCCGTGGATGGCAGCACACAGGACTCAGAACTAAGCCAAAGTTGAGTCCTTTTCAGGAGCAGGTGCGGCTCGGAGGTGGAGGTGAGGACTTATATGCGTGGCTGATTTCTGACAGCCGTAAGTTCAATTGCAAAGAAACAAAAAGGGGCCTGGTGAGGATAAGCAGGAGTCTTGAACTTGACATTTTTTGGAGATAGAACATCTTGAATAAGCAGATGAGAGCAATGGTTAGGCATACAGGCAACTGTCGGGTTTGATGGTTTGCCTGTGAGTTTTATCTATTTGGGGAAGTCGTCAGAACTAGTTTAAATCAAAGAAATACCTTGGTCTTCAACTTCAACTTTTGTTTTTGTCATGCAGACCTGGTAGTATTCTTATTTATTATGATCCAGGATCTTTTTGAACATTTACAGACATCTGACATCCCACTACCCTATGGACCGATGTGTCAGAGTTTTTTTTGTTGTTTTAATGATTGCATTCTTGTGTTATAATTATTTTTCTAATGATGTTGGCAAATTTTGAATTGAGATATTGAATTGATGTTAGCTTCTGTTAAGGTAGTATTTTCGAGGACAACATTTTCCAAGGCATAAGATGATGCTTATTGCAAAAAGCGTGTAGGTAGTAGTGGTACGAGTCTGGAGGATAGCATTAGTGACAAACACAACAGCAGCATTTAACAGCAAAATAGTAGTTTAAATTCAGTGATTGATAAAAACAAACATAGATTTGTAAGTTTTTCTATCTATCTACATGTGTATTTGAGAAGAAGGTTTGGAGGTAAATAGGTGTGCAGAGAGCCGATGCAATCCGACCACAAACCTCTCACATGATGTGGATTTCCTGTGAGACTTTTTCACTTGTGGCTGCAGAGCGAAGGCTGGCCCACACACTCTCACAGCAGCGGGGCAGGATGGTGCACTGACGGACAGCGTGCAGTCCACCATGAATTTCAATGTGTTCGGACGCTACGGGGACCAGCAGAACTGCAGCCAGGAGGCCAGTGCGTCCAGGAAGAAGGGCTCTCTGTGGTACAGGCGCTCTCTGAAGGGACGCAGCAGACAGACGCAGAACAACCCTGCTTTAACCTGCAAGGTGAGACACATGCAACAGTTTCTATGGATTCAAGATAAGATAAGATAGACTTTAGTGTAGGTTTTTTCAGTCCCAGTGCATTAGTGACTTATTGTACAGTCTGACACAATGTACTGTACTAGAACAGGGAGGGATGGCACAAGTACTAGGCGAGATAAGATTTGTCATGGTATTTTTCCGCAAAAAAGTTGTTTTGTGAGATTAAAGGTATATGAAATGTACACACACCGGAGAATTAAGAAGGAAAATTAAGAAACGTGCAGGCGAATAAATATTATCTATATGTAACAAACAGGCAGGGACAGACCATAATCACACACACAAACAAGTCTGCAACTCAAATGTTAAATCCTTTTACAACAAAGTGTCATAAAGGCAGTGGGTTTTGACTTTGACATTGCATTTATTAAAGAGTACCACCACAGTACCATAAAGTGAAGTACTGTGGAGAAACTTAACTATTTGTGTTTTGAGAAGTACAGATTATCCATGTTACAGTTACTGACAAATCACATATAAAATGTTTTAGTTACATGCAAACAATCTCGACATTTAAACAAGGAGAATATGACGGCCCCTAAAGTGAAAGCATTGGTGGACTTGACTTCCGCTGTCAGAAATCACTTCAAAGACACAGATCAAGAACAGACGCAGAAATGTGAAGAGGTTTCTACTCTTGCTCTTATGCCAAATGAGCAAAATGATGTCTGAAGTGATCAACAAGTTTTTTTTAAGAGATGTAACTAAGATTGTGTTTCCACGCGAGTCGCCAGTGAACCAGAGTTTTTCAGTTAACTAACTAGGCAAAAACACTTCATTTTTGGGGATGTGAAAACACCAAAATGACAGTACTCAAAAAGTGTGCACTTGTTTGGTGGTTTAACATGCACAATTGGTTCACTGAAACGGAACTCTGGGTCACTTGGGATTAACGTGTGGACATGCAATTGCAAAGTAGTGCATCACATTTCACTGTTCATGTTTAATTTGTTCGGCTTTGCTGTCCTGGACCTATGTGTGTTTGGTTTTAAAAATAGATACTGTGGTGGTAACTGAGGTATTGAGTGAGAGTAGCCCTGTAACACTGGTTTATAATGATTGGGTCATGAAATCACACAAACATTTCAAGAGTATTCAGGTTTATTGATTTCTACAATTTAGCAAGCATCTCCAAAAAGTACATTTGCTATGATTATTTAAGAACAATAAACGGAAGTTGTTATACTTCCGTGTATTTACTGCCAGCTGTGCAACCACAACACACTGTATAAGCCGTACAACTATTTGAATCTTGTGTGCGTTATATAACAGTAATAAGCTGTGTTAGGATCAGCAGGTCTTTAGATTGTGATAAATGCATAAACTGTGTTGTTATGCATTCACAGCCCAAGCAGCCCACATCTCTGGTGGATTACTCAGACCCACAAAGGTAAATCTATCCCATTTGTGCAACAATCACTTCGGACATAAGTTCAGTTTCCCCTGAATATGATTTAAAATATTTTGACCTTTTTCTTTTACAGAACCACACTTGTACTTGAAAAACCAGACAATGAATCATATGGATTTGAAATTCAGGTAAACTCAGATCGTAGTCCTCTATCTCTCATAGAATTTATGGGCTCCACCTTTTATCTATTTCACATAACATTTCTAAAAATAAAAAAAAATAACACAAAAAAAAAGGGCTCAACAGGTTAAAATGAATGTCAGGAACTTTTTGGAATTGTGGGTAGAGATTTTTTGTTTTTTCAATCTGGACATTCTTATCTCCCTGATTGGACATTGGACAGCTTTCGAAGGGAGGGACTATATTGAATACACCACATTCTTCTTGTGAATACTCGTACAATTAAAGTTACAGGCATCACCTTTAATATATGTTGTACTGCTGTAGTGGTAGAGAAGGTGGAAGATGTGTTACCTGCAAAGTAGAGCAAGCGAAAGTTTCCATTGAACCATCAGCACTGCCAACACAATACTTAGCTTACTCCACATTTGAGTCTTTGGCTGTCTGCAATCATACAACGGGAGGATTGGGATATTTAATTCATTTTTCCGCGCATAATTAATATTTGCTTGCATCTAATCCTATCTCTCACATTTGTATATCTTTCATTTCATGCAGACGTACATCCTCCCACAGAAGAGCAGCTGTGCAGAGGAGACGTGCACTCTGATAGGTGCGGTTCAGGAGGACAGTGTTGCCGACAGTGCTGGGCTGACCACAGGTAAATTAACTTTCAGCGTTCATGCGATCAACTGCAGAAGCATCAAAACAACTATATCATGTTTGCTTGACTTTTTCCTAATTTCTCCTTTTCTCCTTCCTCCGTTTCGGCAGGAGATATCATCATAGCAGTAAATGGCGCTAGCACAGAAGGAATGAAGCATCAGCACATATCAGACATAATCAGAGGGTCCCCTAATAGACTCAAGTAAGCTTGAATTAGAAAAGGATAAGTCTGAACAGTCTTAAAGCTGGGTTATACAATCCCCCCATAAAAAACACATGCTGTTTTTTCCTAACAGAAATAGTTAGGACAAAAGTTCAGGACAAAATAGTTAAGACAAAAGTTAGCATTAAACGTTCCCAAATCAGGCCACAATAATAAAAGATTCACTATTTGATATTTTGGGCTGAGAGATGATTGGCCGAGTGAGGGTGGTTCTCCTTTTCATTTTTCTGTCTAGAAAAGATGATCGAAAGATGTGACAGAGACCAAAAAGTACATGCATGTGAAAATGAGTAACTGAACTGTTTTAGAGCCAGGAACTAGTTAGATTGATTTCTTTTCAAGTTTACATAGTTAAAACGTTTTTGGGTTGAAAGGTAAGGTGCCCCCATGGATCTATAATAATAAGGGTGCCCCAGCTTTTAATAAATGATGAATACAAATATCTAAGTCACTACACACACAACAGCTAAGGTTATTATATATATTTGCAGAATAGAAACTGTAAGTGGAAATGCAGTGAAGCAGGTTGAGCTGGAGAAGAAACGGAACCAGCTAAAGGTATTTTTCCACACAGAATGCGTTGGTTTTAAAGGTAATAAGAGGCCAACGTTTCTGAAAGCTAAATTATCTTTCTTTTCATTCACAGCATTCTCTTTGTGAGAAGTTGTTGGAGCTGCGAGCGCTGAGTTTACAGGAAGAGCGCCTTCAGAGAGGTGAGGCTGACCACAGCACTTCCTTTCTCAGCCCTTTCAGCTCCTCACAGCTCTTCAGTGCTAAGGAGTTTCCCCAACTTCATACAGTCTCTTTCTTAAGAAAGCAATCTCAGAAATTCATTTGAAGAGTGTGGAGTGAGTCATTTAAAAAGAAAAAAGAAAAAACATGAACAAAATTAAACACTTTTAATAGTAATTGTACATCTATATTTAAAGTCCATGATATAGATTAGTTGTGATTTTTTATTTATAAAAAAAAAAATTGTTAATATTGTCGACCAAAGAAATCATTGGTCAATAAAAGACATTACCTTTGGATCCATTAGTTGACTATAAAGTTAAATATAAGCAGCCTAAATTGGCTACAGAAGACTTTAATTCCATGGCATATCAACTATAGACTACTAGACAATGTACCCGTCTTTTAACAAAAAGATTAATTTGATTGTGAACCTGAGTTTTATCTGCCTTAAACACAAAGGTATCTACACCAAATAATTGTTGATTTGTTTTTGTTTTTTTTCTATCAGGTAAAAGCAATAGTCTGCATTCTTCAGCGGACTATGACAGGAGTACCCTTCCTGGCAGATGGGGGCGGCGTTTCTCCAGTGACAGCAGCTGCAGAAGCACTGTGACTGAGGACAGTGACCAGGCCAGTGTCTTTGGAGACATGTACTCACCGAGTCCCCTCAGCGAGACTGATGAGAACTGCTTCTTCTCCAAAGACTTTTCTTCCCACACGTTTCGCAGCAGCTCCAGTCTGGCCGGCAGTAGCACGTCCTTGTCTCCGGCTTGGGATGAAGCTAAAGTTTCTTCCATATTCGGGACTTTGCCGAGAAAAGGCAGGAGAGCCAGTGTCCGCAAGCACATCCTCAAGCTGCTCCCAGGTTTTCATAGCTCTGTGGAGGAAGAAGAGACTGGAATGAATGCTCAAAGATAAAATCACTATATATAAAATTGGACTTGTGATACTTGAACTGTGCAAATGTATTTAGGAAAATGTGAAACATGTATATACTGCACTGTACAAATGTGGGCTCTCATAAATGCTTAATCATATCAAAAATACTTATTCTTCATCATAGGCCAATGCAAGGGTTGGTTGTGTAACTCTTGGAAAATGCCTGAGCGCTGTACATTGGATTTGTGATTTTCTGACTTTATATCGTGTTTTCACTGTGTGCTGAAGCAGGTCGAAAACCTTTGATACATTAGCATTAGTAGCATTAGTTACTCATTCATCCATCAGCAGCTGTGTTGACTATATGTCGCAGTCTAAAACCAGCTGTGTTTGCAGGATGTTATATACCTGTATGCTCATGCAAAACCAGCCAGGCAAAGATAACTGTTTATCAAGAGTTCAATATAGTTTTATACTGTTCATTTACAAGGCATGCACACAAAGCATACTTACTGAATGACTTGTGGAATTTCAGTTGTATGAATAAAGATTATGTCCTACAGTTGGAATTTGTTTTTTGAAATCAGAAATTGTCGTAGTATATTTAATTTAAGTTTTTTTAAAAATGCATTTGTTTTATATAGAACTTTTTTGTACACTCAAAGTGGTGGTAAGCAACTATTGTTCTCACAGCTTCCCTGAGGCAGACTGACAGAAGTAAGGCAACCAGTATGTGCCTTTGACCCCTCCGACCACCAGAATAAAGAATCATTCACTAAAACGCCTGAGGCAAATTCAGTGAAGTGTCTTGCCTAAGGACAAAACAACTTTACAGCTGCAGTACTGTGACATAGAATGTTTCCAGAGGTCTCCCATCACAGAACTAACCAGGCCATGCAATACTTATCCTTAGAGAGCTGCTGGAATCAGGCTTTCACGTGCAGGTGGTGCAAGAATTAGAAAAATATGGGTTCAAGACATTTTATCATAAGCGAAGAGTCAAACCCAAGAGAGTATTTAGAGATGAGTGTTTATGGTAAAGGGCAGTTGTGTCACTCTGGGTGTTGAAATGAAAGGTGACAAGTGCAGACCACAAGTGACATCCGCACAGTGCAAACATGAGAATCACAGCTCAAGATCTACACACAAGTAAAAAGGCAACTTTGAATAATATTGCACATCACCACTTCTCCAAGGATGGGTGGATGATCATAGACATATCCACATAACTGGAGAAGTTCCGGGGCCTGTGTGGAGAGCTGTCAGTTAAGACCAAAAACAGCCTTTCATTTCACCGCATGTCAGTGCATTCCATCAGCACCATTCACCCAAAGTGGCACAGTAATCCTTTACACACTAATTGATAACGTGTTTGTTTACATGACATGAAAAAGGAAAGGTGAACCCACTCCTGCACAGAAACACTGCATTTGGTTTACCACAAATTCCGCTATCACGTGCAGAGCATGAATCTGTGATCTGGTGCACTCAATATTGCACAATTAAACTGCCTCTCAACCAGACTAGACAATCTTTTTAAATTGTGTGGAATAGCTAGTCTGCTGACGTCACTTTTTAAGAAGCACTCAGAATCTATCTAATGTAATTTCTGATGCATGAAGATGATGAAGCCTCAAACTTGTGTTTAAGTAAAACATAGGGAATGTTAATCTTTCGGTACAAAAGATTACAGAAGAACAGCATTCATTCCATATGCAGATGTATGGGGCAACAAAGAGGCTTTGTTGACGCTACAACAAAACCCTTGTACTTGTAATGAAAAACATTGCACTAGCGACGACAAAGCCTCGGATATATTCTTGCATGCAATGGAGGGATTTTGCAAAATGGAAAACATATTACCCGTTTATGGTGAAGATGTGATGGCCAGTCACATTTTGGAGATTATTGGAGGGATCACACCAAAAGCTTTGCAGACACTTGCAGAGACCAGAAAGGAGCCAGACATGTGGTCCATGGAGGAGGGAGATGATTCTGTGTTCTACAGCGATGAAGAAGCTCAAACTCAGGCAGAAGCTTTAGAGAGAAGAATTGTGATCAGTGAAGCTGATGAGACACCACTGCAAGAGGAAAACCATGGAGCTGTTCAGTGCATTAAACAGGAGGAAGACAGAATAGGCACTGAGCTCAAAGCAGAAAACAAAAATCCAAGCATCGACATTTCACATCTGTTAGCGAGAGGAGCACATGAAGACAGTCAGGTGATAGACACAGACACAGAGCAGTGTTCAAGCAAAGGTAAGGAATGATATCTTTAACAATTGTCCAACATTTTCATAAAAGTCAGTATGGATGTCATGATTAGGCCAGTATAGATTATCCAAATAGTTTGTCAATAATTCAAATCTAGATGGGGATTTAAGTATTATCAGTATAGTATACCTTAATCAGATCTTATAACTAAAATTGTTTCTTCAGTATTAGCAATTATACCAATATGATTTTAAGCAACAGCAGAAAAAAAAGGTTGGTCATGTCTCATTAACTCAACTTCCAATGTTCTTATTTTTTGTTGTTGAAATTGTAAACACTCAGAACAAAGCAAATGTGCAATTAAGTCTGTGTGTAACTTGGGTTACTTTGATTGTAACTAGTAATATACTGTATTACTAGTTGTGACTGTGCCGACAATATATTTTTGTACTGAGTGACTTCAAAACAAGAGTATATTACAGTAACTAGTCCTTTTTGTAACTAGATACTCCCAACACTGTTCCTTCATCAGTATTGTCCCTTATGCTTCTCTCTTTTGGGAACAGATCTGACAGATTATTCAGCAGCAGCCCAGATTACCACAGGCTCCATGGCTACAAACTATCAACAGTGTTACCAGCCTCCAGTTTATCAGAAGTCTGAGAGAAGCCCCCTCCAACGAGATCCCCAGGATTCTAGCCTGGGCCAGTCCATTCCAGCTTCAAGCAACAAGTCATCCAAATCCAAGCCCTTCAACCACCTCACCTCCTCCAAGTACAGCACCCTGTCTTACCGCAGGATCCGCCGTGGCAACACTAGGCAGAAGATACAGGAGTTTGAGCACATGATCACCAACTTGTGACAATATAACATGAAATGTGATTTCAACGGAGGAAAAAGGAATTCTAGTTTCAGAAAGTTGAACCAAAGTATGTTAATATTTGTGGTAGATATTCTAACAGTATACATTGTGGTTTTCAACTGTAATATCTGCATTTAGTCCTTCAGAAAGATACACCGCTACAATGACAGGTCAAATCTATGTAATACATGTTTAATGCATAATAATAAAAGTGACGCATTATCTCATGTGCTTTCATAGAAAAAGTGCATTATTTATTTCAGTTTCTTTAAATAGTGTCCCTGATTGGAAGATTTGAACAATACGCCCCCTAGTGACAAAAAACAAAAATCAACAATTTACACATTTACAATAACCGAGGCAGAACTCAGAAACCATGCAAACAAATACTTCAAATGCATTATATTTGCTAGTGCTTATTGCGATTTTAATCTACAGTCAGTTTGTTAAATAAAACAGTCAAAGTGCCTTGAGATAAAAGAAAAGTATTGAGTGAATAGTGGCATTGATAAATGTGTTTAAAAGGCACTCTTGCATCTAAGGCAACCCTGAATTATCCATGAACAAATACAACTAAATCAGGAAAAAAATGTAACAAAAATGCATAGAAAGACAAATGTACAACACAAAAGAAACATAAATCCAGCATTTTTACATAACAAATTTAGATCAGGCTCTTTGGCGGAGTATTTGTACATGAGCAAAAATCAAACAGTCTGTAAAGCACATATACATACACTATTATTATTATTTTTCAACCTAGGCACAAGGATTAGAAAAATTGCACATCCCCATTCACACAAAAAGCCCCTCAGAAAAGTCCACCACCGAAGCCATTCCAGTCACGCTGAAGCTGCAGGTTGAACAGTTTGCAGTTTTGGGGTCACAAAGGTTTCACTGAGCCAAGTAACGTGTGAATTCCCATTTCTGAAAAGCATTATTTTGGTTGCACGATCGCATTAGAACTCCATCTCCTTTGGTCCCGGCTTCAAGACACATGTGACTGGTAAAGTAGTCGGTTATGAGGTGATTATCCTTCAAAAAAAAAGAAAAGAAAAATCAAAAATTAGCAATGTGTTTTGTGATTATTTATTTATATAGAGTTTTAATTTGATTAAAGCCTTAGTTTTATTTGTGCAAACAGAAAATACAGTACTAAAGCTTGTGATGGCTTCAAATGCATCTTGTAACTTTGCCTTAGCGCTAAAATTTTAGAAAAGTAATTGTAAATAAAGAGGCTATCATTTATACTGTATACGCACACTCCTCGTAAACGTAATCATGAAATAACTTGTTTATTTTCAGCATTTGAGTTCACACAAGCTCATCTTCCGCAGTGCAATTAAACACAGGGATGGAAACTAAAACAAAAACAAAGCAGGGGGAGATGGTGTTCTTCACGGCTATGATAAAAGTCCAAAGGCTTCCAAACACATACATTTCTAACATGAGCATACCTTTTCCTTATGCTCTTAAATACATCTGCTGGCCCTGTCTTACAAGAATCCAGTACAAGGTTACGTGCCAGTGTCACCGGAGTAGAAATGGTTCAATCCGTTATAACCGTTCAGTTTTATTCACACCTCGTTCCGCTCATCTGGGTTCACATAAGTCATCAATTTTTTTTTCACTTGTGATTTGTAAATGTGCTTACTTTCTTGACCATAACTCACATTTCTAACAATAAATCAAGGTAAAACTATTCTTTCTCTTACCAATAAGTTGTTGTTGAGTTTGTGGTACCATCTGAGTCGTGCACTGGCCCGGTCACACAAGAACAAGCCAACACTGCCTTCTTTGCTCTGTGGGCCAATGCAAACATTCTGCTGCTGGAGATTTCTCAACCAAGTGTAATTAAAGTGCTGACTCTATACACAGGGAAAGAAGCATATAATTAAGTGAAAAACATTTTGGCAGATGTAGAGTTGAAACATTGTACATTTAAATCAATCTGTAAGTAACTACAGTTGTTCATGTTTGAAAGATATAGTTTATAGTTTAGCCACCAAGGAGAAAGATACAATTGTTTCTAAAAGTAGTCATGGCAGCATAAACAAGCAGGAGCAAAGACTGAAATGATATGTTTTCCCCCACATTTCCATTCTTATTATTCAATGCATGTATTGTGTAGTTAACGTGACACGCCTACCTGCAGATTGAGATCACAGGTCTCAAAGACGAGCGATCCTTTATGGAGTGTGAGACATTTCCTCAAACCTTGATTGAACACCTGCGAGACACAAAATATATTCAAAACAACTTATTCACAACAACATTTAAGATTTTGACGGTTAATGACCCTTGCTTATTTTGCCTCAGAGAATCCGAACAGCAGGCTCTTAAAAACACCACGGGCATTGTTTATTGCCGAGACTCTTAATTAGTTTCTGTTCTGTAAACTTTGCTGCGAGCTCTCCAGCAGAGTGGCATACTAATCAATGCAAATTTTCAAACTTGTTTACTTTCTTCAAAAATATCAACTTTCTGGAGGATTAGTATGTGACCATTTTTACCAATCCCTCTGCTTTGACCACGGGGGCATCAGCGTCCGGGTACACGTTGTCCAGGTACCATTGGAAACTCTTGCACTTGAGCTTTTTCCTCAGAGCCATCTGTTCTGTGAGGTCCCCGATGTTGATATTGTTTTTGTCCAGCAGGTGGTGATATCCGTGTCCGTAGAAGAGGTCTTTGTAGTCGTCAAGCCACACTTCGGCGACTCGGGCCAGATTTCTTTCCACTGTTTTCTGCCTGTCTTTGGGGAACTTGTAAGGATTTTGCCCTCTGAAAATATGACCCACTCTGGAACAAGGGATAATCTCGATTTCTCCTCCGCACATCCAGATCTGGAGCAACAAAAGAATAAATTCCCTTTAGAATGATGACCTTGCCCATGTTGACAACAAATGTATACATAAATCTAATATAGTATGTTTTAAAGTCTAGTATAAACAGTGGGTTAAACCTTTGAATGACCACAAAGTAACAGCTACAGTAAGTGTGAAGTGAAAGCAAAATTATGATAGATGATGATTTAGATTTGTTTTAAAGAAAAGAAAAGTAGAACTCCCTTTTTCTACAATTACAGTATTGTGAGATATGAATCCTATCAGCCAGTCTTGGATTATTATTGATAATATTTGAGAAAGACAAAGATACGGCTTGCCTTCAGTGTTGCGAGTGATTATTTTGGCATAGCACATACCTTGAATGAGATTTCCATATTCTCTCCTCCCCACACATCTAAGCCGGGATCATAGGCACCAAGTTCATAGAAATAATTCCGGTCTATGGAGAACAGTCCTCCAGCCATGACAGGACATCTGTAAAACACATACCGTAATAGGAAAAAGGGGTCAGACAATATGCAGGAATGTGCACTGGGAATCATAGATTTTCTTTTCAAACCTGATTGGATCTGCTATTGTCATGTTGTTTTTCTTAATGTAGTCTTCAGACAGTGGACTCCATCCAAACACCAGAGGCCATTTAAAAACACCACGCTGAAAGTTATCAACTAGAACGTAACTGTGACAGAAAAGAATTGTCAGGACTTTGAGACAAAACGTACACAAAATGATTACTATAACATCCGTTTTGTGTTTTCTTCCAACAACAAAATGGCTGAGCTCTAAAACAAAACAGAGAGAGATTTTCACCTCATATCTTTATCACTGATGACCTCAATAACTGGACAGGGAACTTTCCTGCGGTCCAAATAGACTCGCTCCAGTAGTGGCTCCAACCATCCCACGTTACATTCAACGTGCGAGTCCAGAAAAGTCAGCACTTCACCTGTGACAGAGACACAGTAATCCTGTTCATATTTTGAAATAAGCCTATGATACAGCATCATTACCAAGGGCATTTAAAATGTCTGTATTTTGTTGCTCAACAGTTTTGCAACAGTAGTTCTGTTACATCATAAACAATTTGAAGTAACAAAAAATTGTGAGGCAAAAGAAAAAAAAAACCCTGGATGGCTCTAGACAAAAAAAATAAAAAATATATACCAACATTTTTATGTGAATGTTGAATGATGGTTATAAGTAAGTAACTTAATCTTAATATTATATTACTTGATATTAGTACACCCCTTATCACTGTTGCACCTGTTTTAGTTGTTGATCTCTCTCTCTTTTCCTCCTCCTCCGTTGTTGTTGTTGAGAGAGAGATCTCTCTCTTTTCCTCCTCCTCCGTTGTTGTTGTTGAGAGAGATCTCTCTCTTTTCCTCCTCCTCCGTTGTTGTTGTTGAGAGAGAGATCTCTCTTTTTCTCCTCCTCCGTTGTTGTTGTTGAGAGAGATGTCTATTGTATCTAATATGTATGGGGATGACTCGAGACCATATTTTATCGAGCCAGCAGGTGGCAGCATTGCTCTCTGAATGGTTTGAAAACATGTAGGTGCACATGTTGTGCCTCTTTTTTCTCAACTTTCTGGTGATTTCTGGTGATTTCAGTAAAACTTCCCTCTACTCAACGGAGGATTACAGGGGAACGAAAAAAGCTATAAACAAAATTCTTTTTGCTGAGGAAAGTAGACAGTCCATTCTTTTAGAATCTGGTGTCGGATTTCAGATAGTCATAGTACACAATATTCTGTGGGTCTTGAAAAATCAGTAAAAATCATCAGAAATGGCTGGCACTGTGGGAGTACCTGTTCTGAAATAGGCTGGCATTCAATGAGTTAAGTACCGTAGCATCCAGGCTGCTCTTTTTTAGCAGGGGCCTGATGACTGCCGTTTTAAGGGCCTTTGGGAATATTCCAGAATGAAGGGACATGTTTACTATCTGTGTGAGTGAAGGTAACAGACTGCTCAGAACAGACTTCAGAAATCTAGTGGGTAGTACATCCAGGCTGCATGTGGAGGAGCTCAAACTGGAGATTATTTCTTGGACATTTTTATCATCTACAGGTGCAAAGTAAGTTAGCTCAGAGAGCCTTTCTGGCTGTTGGAGGGTTATCTGTGGATTGGAGACAATGGCGTTTTTGATGCCTTGAACCTTGTCATTGAAAAAGTGTGCAAACTCATTGCATTTACGTTTGGAAGTTAGCTCTAATGGCATCTGAACAGGGGGGTTTGTTAATCTATTAACTGTTGAAAACAGAACACGCAGATTGTTGCTGCAGCCTTCAATCATTTCAGAAAAATACCTTTCTCTCGTACTACGTAGCACCCGGTTAAACTCGCACAACTTATCTTTGAATATCTTGTAATCAACCTGGAGGTTGGACTTGCGCCACTTCCGCTCGACCCTCCGGCACTTTCTCTTCAGTGCTCTGACCGAGTCTGCTTTAGCCCACGGCGCCTTCTGCTTATTTTTCACTATTTTAACCTTCACAGGGGCAACGGTATCCAGAACATTCAAAACACTAGAGGTGACAGAGTTAAACAGTTCATCTACAGTAGAATACGATGCATTTTCAAAGTTTATCATTCCCATAAATAGTTCACTCGTATTTTCATTTATGTGTCTTCTTCAAACAGTTGCAGAGTCCACTGGTGGTTTGTTAGTGAAACACATGTCAAAAAATACACAGAAATGATCCGAAAGAGCAACATCGACCACGCTTATATTTGAAATATTCACCCCCTTTGTAACTAACAGGTCTAGAGTGTGCCCTCTGCTGTGGGTGGGGCCACTCACGTGCTGAGTGAGACCAAAGGTATCAAGTAAAGAACTCAGCTCTTTTGCATTTCTGTCATCAACATTATCCACATGAATATTAAAATCACCTGTAATAACTAAACTATCAAAATCTGTGCATACAACTGAAAGCAACTCGGTAAAATTATCAATAAAACTGTGACATGACTGCGGTGGCTTGTATAGAACTATGAAGAGTATTGGAGGAGATTGTTTTTGTTGTATTTTAAAAGACACATATTCAAAAGACGGAAACTTCCCAAGAGACATTCTATGGGAGACAAAGTGGTCTCTAAAAATGGCAGCTAAGCCTCCTCCTTTTTTGTTTTCCCGTATTTCAGATTCAAATTTGAAATTTGGTGGTGATGCTTCTATTAAAACTGCATTTTCTGTATTTTGGCCAAGCCAAGTTTCAGCCATGAACATAAGATCAAGATTATAAGAACAAATAAAATTATTGATTAAAAAAGACTTGTTAGAAAGAGATCTGACATTTAGCATAGCAAGTTTCAAAGTTTCAGTATCAGCGGTTGTGGTCGGCTGATTCTTACACGGAACAAGAATTAGATTTTCCAGATTAGACTGATTAACTCCAGATGTCTTTCTGTAATGTATTCTTTGTGTTATCACTAAGGGAATGGCACAGGTGGCTTCATGACAGGGCCCCAGCCGGGTCTCTCCTCTAACTAGACTGCCAGTGGCTGCGAAGCAGAGACCCTGTTTAATAGCCATAAATGCTAACACCTGTTAACGGTTTAATTAGCATTTTCATCAATGATTGCATCACATGTAGTCTATGTTTTCAACTTCTGCAGCTTTTTGTTCATAAAAGTAAAATATTTATTTAATTCAAGTTATTTTGATTAGATTGTCTGCATAGGTTTCCTGAAGAATGGGGAGCTTTACCATCAGAGAGGATCAAGAACCACCTCCACAACAACCACAAAAGGCTCCTTAGCTACAGAGAACTATTGGGCTGCATGGATGTAAAAAATGTGAGATGAATCCAGCCACGTGTTCTTTGGAGGTTGTAGGTGAAATCCTTATTGCAAAATAGAACTCTTTCTCTAACCCTTTATTTAAACATGGCTTGCAATAATTAAAAACGTACCAATGCGTTTCTGCAACTTTTCTTTCCTCAGGGTGCATACAACACTCCAAATGGTACAGGAGAAAAAAATACATGCAATCCACTTTGAATTGCCACTTTTTATTGTACATAATATATCCTGCATTTAACATGTTTGCACATTTCTTTCGTTTGCACACTTGAGTGATTCTATCCATGCCTGATGTGACATCTAAATTTCTCCTGTGTGAGATCAATAAAGTCTATCTTATCTTATCTAATCTGAGATGTTTGAGCCTTAACCTCATGAGTCTTGATCAGGTCTTGTAGGTTCAAAGACTGGAATAACCACAGCAAATCTGGATGCAAATCATTTTGTACATATCTCAACGTAAACAAGAATGTCAAAACTTTCTGCAACAGACACAATATGGGTGAAAATAAGTGGCAGAAGTAAGCGATAATTATTTTCCTAAAGTACTAAAACTCATTATAAATAGAATTAAATCTTCTCCCAAACACAAAAAAAATACACACAATAAATAATTTTGTGTAAGCCCTCAGTCGTACAGGGATTAGTCAAAGCAAAGGAAGGTTTCTCACCCATCATCTGTACTTCTTAGCAAGTTTTCCCGACGTTTCGTCCTCACCCTGGGGACTTCTTCAGGGAATGAATTCTCGGACCGCGCGTTGGAGATTTATAACCTATGGGTGTGGTAAGCCACACCCTGATCCTGATACTAACTTGTAAACAATCTCAGGTCTGCTTGATGTAGAAGGGAGCAGGTCTAACGACCCTGCTGAGGCTAACGACCCTAACTCCTTAGCATGTCACAGACCTATTGTCTGCTGACGATGACTTTACCAACATCGTAGAGAAAACTCTAGTGGGCCACAGTCGGCTGTTCATCTCCACCTCAAGGCCTCCAACCACACGGTGGATGACACAGAGGTTAAAATTCTGGCTCGGGAGAAGAATTGGTTTGAGAGAGGGGTGAAAGAAGCCATTTTTGTGAGGAAACAAAAACCTTCTCTTAACAGAGGAGGAGGGTTAAGATTTGTTTTGCCTCGCATCTATGACGACATCCTAAAAACAACGCCCTAACTTGGGACAAGGTCAGTGACATGCTAATGAGTTAGGAGGGGTGAAACCTGCACTCCACTTGAGCATCCCAGCAGACAATAGGTCTGTGACATGCTAAGGAGTTAGGGTCGTTAGCCTCAGCAGGGTCGTTAGACCTGCTCCCTTCTACATCAGACCTTAGATTGTTTACGAGTTAGTATCAGGATCAGGGTGTGGCTTACCACACCCATAGGTTATAAATCTCCAACGCGCGGTCCGAGAATTCATTCCCTGAAGAAGTCCCCAGGTTGAGGACGAAACGTCGGGAAAACTTGCTAAGAAGTAGAGATGATGGGTGAGAAACCTTCCTTTGCTTTTACAATAAATAATATTTAGCCCCAAAGTAAATTGTGCCAAGTCAATTGTGATTATCATGTCAGGTATATTGTTTGAGAAATTCTCATACACTCTAATCAATAATTGCATTGTGTTGTGGTTTAAGTTGTCACACAAATCCAAATACAATGCAAAAAGTGTATTAATAAGTATATTCAAGCAAGTCTGTTGTATAGCCTCCAGTAATGTCAGTAAAGGAGTTTTGAATTATAATTTTACATTTGAATTATATCTCCTGTTTATTTAGGCTCATTCGTGTGCACCTCATTGTCTCCATGCATTTTCTTACCTTTACCATTGCACCTTTACCCATCAGCTTAGAAATCATGCAATTAAATAGTGCAAAATGATGTCATGTGAGTGTGGATGCAGAAACTGCTGCATAAATGAATAAATTGACAGACGGATGGAACATAAGCTAACACATGCATCGTAGGGCTTGGGGGCTGTCCTGAGGCCAATCATTTAGCTAACACACTAATGAAAGCCTGTGTAGTGCGGCTATAAGGGCAGCCACCATGGGAGGCAGGCAGCATCCCCTCCTCCTTGTGTTGGGGGCTGTTAATAGGCTGGATGGAGTCAACGGGGCTCCCAGGAGAGAGCTGCTGATGAAGAGGAAAGCCTGCCGTCACCTTCACTAATCACTGCCTAATGGCTGAACCAATGCACAAGTAGCACATGTGTCTGTGTTGTGCTGTAATATACATGGGAATATTTAATCACTATTGTGAGATGGGTGCAACCAAAGAACTGCAGAAAATGTAATAGGAAAAGGAATGCAAACAAAATATGACATTTTTCAAAGATATTGTGCTACGTGCTTTTCATGATCAATTATTACTGGTAAGAACCACCTCTTCTCAGTAAAGTAAAGTAAAGCAGCTGCAAACTATGTTTATCTGCATAGTCATAATAAATAACTATCATTAACACAAAGTATCATTGCTATTAGTAATTAGGTTATTCACACGAATTCAAAATATTATATATTTTTTTGTATAGTACAGTGTCTAAAGAAATCAATAATAGCACTTGCATGGCATTTACATAATTTACGCAAGTATGAACTTACAAAGCAGATTTGTTAGTTTGGTAATATTGTCACAATATAACATATATTTTCCAATATATTATGCCTAACTGCTGGTGAAACAAATGCCAGAGTCAGGCAATGGAAATTGCTCAATCGCACATAGGCTGAGATGTGGCCATTCAAGTTCTTCAACACCAAGCAAGGTGTGTAAGTAACAGTTTCCACAATCTTTAAAAGATGTCACAAATGTAACTTGTGTTTATGTGGTAACAAACCGTATAGTACACTCCCGCACCATAAAAGCTAATGTGCAATGGCAACTTTGTGGTAAATGAATCAGTGTTGGGAGGTGGATTCTTGTTTCACAGTAATATTTCTTATTCCAATATTTCAATTCTGATTAGTATTGCAATTATTCAATATGTCACAAATCTAAGTCTAAGTGCCCCAACTTTGCATTTAAATATTTTATATTTTTTACAATATAATGATAATAATAATTATTAGAATAATAATAATAACATGATGGTTATTATTATTATTATTATTATCATTATTATTATTATTATTATTATAATGTTGTATTATTATTTGTATTTGTAATTCTTATTCTTATTATTGTTCGTCATGGCAAAAAAAAAACGCCCATGGATAAACCGTAGAATAATAATGGCTAATGACGCTTCCTGTTGTTCCTGTTCTTTTGTAGCTAATTTTAGCTAGCTTAGCATGACGCGTGTTACGTGACGTGTCATATGAATCAGACCAATTGGAGCTCGGTGGCCAACTGGAAGTCGGTAGCTACGGTCTCATACAAAGAGCACTGCCTGTCAAAGTTGTGCTCTGTACATTTAAAAGAAGAAATCTCGGATTTTTAAACACACTTAACTATTCAAGACGATCACGTGGCTTTCGTAGATGCAGCACAATGCCTCTACGTGTTTGAAGATGAACAGGATCGTCACGGTATGATAAACAAACTTTATATCAGAAGTCGTCGGCTTGTCAGTCATATACAGTTGTAACAAAGTAGCTACACGCATGGTTTCTAGTATGCCACGCAGGCGAGAGGCTATTTTCCACAAGGGAGCAGTGCGATCACATCCACACCGTTGGAACAGATTGAAGAGATGTATTGGAGGAATCTGACTATGATGAAAATAAGGAGATACTTAAGGGGCAGTGGGAGAGTGCTGGCATTCGTGTTCGTCGCATCTATCATATGGCTGATCTTTGACATGGCAGCCTTACGGATGTCAATAAACGACGTGAACAGCCAGCTGCTTAAAGAGAGAGTCATCAGGGAGAGGGAAGTTTTCAAGCAACAATCCAAGATGTCTCAAGTGATAAAGAATGGATTTGGACACCCAGTTCAAAGGGTCAACGCAGATGGGTCACAGGTCAATAATGAACCCCTCAAAGTGCACAGAGTGGCTGAAAATGTCTACAGAGGGAGGAAAAGAGGACCATTTGTGGGAGACAAGAAGATGGACTCTAATCAAGTGGTGCTTCCTGCTTTGGATGACACCAAAGCAAAACGACAAACTGAAAAGCCTTCCAAAATGCGTGTGGATTTGGATATCAATGAGAAAAATCAGTTTGACAGTAAACTTAAGACCACTACAAAGATGGCAGCTGTCAAATCTATTAACAAAGGGGACAATGGTAAAATAGTTCATAAGGACAATGTTGCTCCAAAGCCACAAAACGAAGCCATGCCTGGACAAGCCAAGACAATAGCACAACTTAAAGATAAGACCCCACCACACCCTCTTAAAACCACCAGCAACACTCTCATAAAGGCTGTTAAATCTGACGTAAAGTCAAATCTATTGTAACATGCTTACCATTGACTAAATATATACTATTCACTCATTTATCACAGCTGTGGGGGCTCGGTGTTCTGTCCTTTTTCTCTTTTAAAACTCGATGATCTTTTCTGTGGTAAATATTGTATTTTATTGAGATAAAAAAGGGACACGAGAAGTTGGACGCTGTTGATTTTACGTGTGGCTTTAAACCGAAACACTAATTGTACAGTAGGCAATTTTAAAGTCGTACACAGACCGAGAGCACAGAAATCCTCCCTCTCGGACTGGTTTATTAGCGCTGACATTGTCGTTCTGGTGTTTTTTAGAGAAATATTTAAAAATTCGACGTTGGTAAAAACATTTGATAAATCGACAGCCAGTAGAAACTATTAAAAGACGGAATTTGGTGTTTGTCGGAATGGTTTTCAGTACGTTGACTTTCCTCGTGGGCTTTCCAATGGAGCCTTGCAGTAGACATAAGCAAAACGTATAAGACGTACATCGTGATTTTTTTTTATAAACGATTTTTTGCTGTTTTTTGTGCAGAAATTATGATATTTTCTCGTTAACCAGGGTCTACGTCCATCAGTGGTTCTCATTTGGGGGGAAAAACAAAATAAATGGGGATTTAAATGTGAAAATGGCGTTCGTACATTCTATTTTCTTTTGGGGACCACGCCTTGAATCACGTCTTTTTTGCGAGTCTTTAGTTCCTGGGGCCCTCGAATTTATCTCTGTCCTCCTGTCTTGACCAACGTCCATTGAAGCTTGGTCTTAGTCTAGAGCTGCGTAAAAACGAGACACGCTTAGTACTGACCACTTGAAAGTTTGTCAGAATAGTATAGTTGATACAATGGTACCCACTGCCGCCATCTTTTCTTATTTGCGATGTTTTTGTTTGATTCTAAGGGCTGCGTTCGGCATCTTCTTTCTCCATTTGAAATTTTAATATATTAGCCTTACGTCCTATGACCTCTGCCGGGTTGGTATACTTTACTGCGATTTAAAAACAAACTATGAGGATCCTTGCAGAATGCGATTTGATGTACCGAGCTCGCACCTTCGTGAAGCAATGAAATGCATCAAAAACTCAGCCGTTCGCACAAAAAAAGCAGTTAATTAGACAAAATAAAAACACTTAACGAAGCCATCTACCTCTGCTGACGACTATTGCCGCACATGGAAATACACGGAGCGTTGAACCTTTCCTTGTTTTAATATTATATTGTATCGTTTATAGTTCACGCCTCTTCACTTTTAAGACTTTTAGGTTGTGCTTTTTGTAATATTTTTTTTCACAATATAGAAGGTAAATACGGCCAAAAGAAAAAAAAAGATAAAAAAATGATCTGTCAACTCCTCATGTGTTGATAGTTCTTCCCTCTTCCTCTTTCTTCAACGAGCGCAGACTGTGTTAGTGACGAAGGCTTTAGACCAAGGGTAGAGGCTGCGTTTTATGACAAAGGTAATGAAAATAATATAGACGATTTGAGAGTCAAAATGTTTTTTTTATTGAATTTCAGTGCTTTTGTATATGGTTAAGCCTGATTGAGCCTTTTTGTTTATTATTTCTGATCTTTAGGCCAAGACAAGTGTTTGTATGGCACAGTTCATACACAGGCAACTCATAATAAGTCCTTGGCAAAACAGAAAAAGATACATTAAACCACACAGTCAATTAAAATCTGATAATCAGCACATTCAAGAAAACTAAACACGTCGCAGATGTACAGTGGTCGCAAAGCATGAAGAGACACAAATAGAGCTGCTTTAAAGTTTATTCTGATTCTTTGCTTTGGTTTCTGGTTTAGAACTGAGGTAATACTGGCTCTGACACATTCAAATATATCCTGCTCTGAAGTTCAAATTCTTCAGTCAACAGAAATGTAATAAAACGGTACAGAGTCTTCTGAAATTACCAAATCTTCTAGTTGTGAACGCAGCCTGGTACTTGTACTTAAAGCAGGAACCCTGCACTTTTGGGGGGTGGACAAGATTCTAGCGAGATCCACGACTAAACTTTTGTTGAATCTGTCTTGAGGTTTTCAACTAACACTTTTTTGATGGTCAAAAGTTCCAGTCATGAGCGCAGGGAGAACAGTGAGCACACGTTTCATGCCTGTTACTGTAAAAGTGATTTTGACAGTGTTATTGGCAGCGAGATTGAAGCGGAAGGAAGAGAGAGACGCAACGTGTCTGTCGTTCTGTGTGCGGTACGGATAAGGTCATTTACTGGGAATAAGTGATGAAAATCTGTGACTGTTGGCTCCGAGTGCTTTGTTCAGATGTGCATAACTACTGTCTGATTTATACTGTAATATAAAGCGCCATTTACTGCGTTAAAAATTCAAAGGTGGAGGATCATTTCAGTCTGAAATACTGGGGCCGTATTCCTAAAAGATACTGAGAGTCCTCTCAGAGAGCTCTTATCTTACCTAAAAAACTCCTCGCTAGGAGTCTTACTTAAAAGTTATTCCAGAAACACGCTTAGGAGACTCTGAGCAGGAATTGACTACAACTTTTATCTTAGTGAGGAGGCGTGGCCGACCCCGTTGTTAGGTATGAGTCCCTATTCTGACGCTGTGCTTGGTTGAACTAAAAGTTAGAACAAACATATTTTTGTGATAATAGGCAAAATAAGGGCCTTAAAATGGACAAACTCATCATGGAATCTAATCTTAGAACACTGTGTTATTGTAAATAATAACCAAAAGCTATACGTCAGATATCTCAATGGTACATAAATACTGTGAAAGTAAAGTCTAGACTTATACACCACATCATCAGAGCTGCTCAGCACCAATTTATCACCACTAATTCGTATATATCATGAGCCACAATATATATATATATATATATTATATATATAATATATATTTTTATACATTTAAATATTACTCTTTATTTATAATTTACATGATAAAGAAAATTATTATTATATGGATAAATGTATGATAATGATAACGTTAGGATTAGTAAATGGCTGTGATATGTATATGCTTATAAAGGATTAAGGAAACATATTAATATAAACATATCCATTGTATAGAATATTTCTCCTGTCTCCACCGTCCACCATTTTGTGCTCTTAGGGAACTTTTAAGTCGCTAAAAGTCCTCCTCTCAACTCTTAAGGGATCTCCCCTTAAGAGCACTCTTAAGAGCTAGGATTTTTTAGGAATAGCTTTTATCTTAACTAGGAGCTACTCCTCACTTTTAGGGGAAATTCTAAGAGTTGGTCAAGATTCTAAGAAAATTCTTAGAATTTGGCCACTAGGAGCAACTTTTAGCAGTAAGAATCTTTAGGAATACGGCCCCAGATCTTCCACTTCATCCATACACACTTGCATCAACTGATCAAGGTGTATCTCATGGTATTCGGGTTCTTCACCCTGCAGGTCTCATGGTCCCTGGGCCTTTCCCCATAGGGCCTGAAATCATCAATAGAGTATATTACTCAGACAAAATTGGACCCAATTTTTAGTTAGCCCTAATTTGACGGATTCCTTTTTTCTCTCTGTGATTGGTTCATAATAATCAGCAGATATTGACATCCAAAATATTGACATCCAAAATAATGACATCGGTATCAAACCGGTCAGTGCAGATGTATTATCACAAAATCAACCAACGCCCGAACTTTACTCAGAAATGACAAACATGCAAGTTTTACTCCATCTGAAGTTCCCAAAAGAATTGTTATTTCACAACTTCCCAAAACACTAAAACTTCTCTTAGTAGTACCCTTAAACACATGATTTGTGATCCTCCCATGCAGCAAAACACAATGTTCCACAGGCTACATTACATCCTCGACACCTCACCTCTCCAGAGATCTTTAAAAATTGCATTGAGAAAAGAGCAACAACCTGCTCCAGCCATCCTCCGCTTTCATTAGACGCACAATTTCTCTTTTAAATTCCCCAGGCCTGCCGGGTTGTAATCTATTGCCCCCATGAAATATAGACTGCGTAGAATCACTTTGTTGTACGACATAAAGTGAGCTGTCCCACGCGCCCGGACCCTAATTAGTACGGCATGCCTTCGAATGTAAGCGAGAACTTAGCTCAAATGGAAGGAGAACTCTGCAGGCGTACTTTTCAGTCCCTTAATGTATTACCGACCTGCTACCGGCAATCAGCGAAAAGGAACATTCAAATGACTGGCGAACGAGCTGGGGGGACCGGTAAGGAAGGCGCGCCGGGTGATTTAAGATATTTGCCCTAATGAAGCGGACCGATCCCAGTCCTGATCCGAATGCGATGGAGAGAATTAAGGGCAGGGGCAGGTCACAGGAGTACATATGCAGGGGGCAGGGGGAGCAAATGAAATGCAAAGATGTCAGACAAGGTGTTTGCTCGCAGCGAGATAAACACTGAGGGATCGGAGCGTCTGTAAAGATGATATAATCAATGTTTTGTTATTTGTTTTTGCAGCCGGAGGAGCAGGATCTGGGCCACACGCCGTGTCACCTCTGGCTTCTGATTGTCAGTGTTGTGCGCTGGTTAAGAGGAGGCAAACAAGAGGCTCCTGTATTGAATATGGCACAGAGATAGAAGTGAGGGAAATGAAAGTGAGACAGTCTGTAGAAATAATCTGTCAGTTCTCTTACACTGTATAAATCAATATGCGTTTTTTTCCATCATGAGTTGTTTGTTTCTTTTAGGAGAAGTTATGCAACATTGCTTATCCTCTCTGCACACTTGACTGTGTGCGTGTATAAGGTAAGTCTAAAGTCACAGCTGCCCTAACGGTAAGAGGAGTAGTTATAACTTTTACTGTTCTTTGATCAATGTTGTTACTTCTATAAAAAATGCCCTTTCAAAATAAAATTCAAAGTTTCATACTTATAAGTTGTACATACGGGGGTTGTGGCCCATTACAAGTGCATTCAAAAGTCCACAGCGGGTAAACTAGGCTGGTCCCAAAACAAAAAAACTCCCCACAGCATTGACATGCATCTTGAACGTAGCCTTGAGCTGAGAGCCGACTTTTGGACCAGGCTTTTAAGTGGAAAGAAGGTGTTTTAAGAAACCCTTGGATTATTCTGTATCCAGGTATGCCACCACCGGCAAGGTGTCAGATTACAAGAATGTCCATGCACGTTCTCATGAACCCTTTTGAGCACTGATTCCAACAGAGAGACTGGAAGAAGAAGTCGACCGCTTCCTTGTACCAATGTCCTGCAGAACCAGATGATCAATGCCACTTGACTGGGCTCTTGACTGGGCTTATCAGCGTTGAAACACATTTATAAGTGCAAATATTTGTTTATGTTACAAGGAGTTAAAGGAACCTTCATCAATCATTGGGCCGTTTTCAATCAATGTTGTGGCTAATATAATGCTAAACTAAATGCAAAAGAAGACATATAATGTCCACTTCAAAGCATTTCTAAGCCCGCACAAACCTACATGTTACTTTTCTCTATAAACCAAAAAGAACAAAGAGCAAACAGAACAAAAGAAAAGCTTTGGTCTCAAACTTTACGCCGTGTAAAGGTTGAAAGTAAAATAAAATAAAAAACAAGAAGAAGTAATAGAAAGAGGAGAGCCTATGGAGGTGGAACATGAGGAGATGGAGACAGCCGCTGCACCTGGGCCGCACTCCCACTGATGGCTGCTAACCGATCCCTGAGACGGTGATTGACAGCTCCTGACCAGCGCACGCCTGGCCCCGGCTCTCCACACTGCTGAGCACAGCGGGCAGCGTGAAGGCTCGCACAGATTCCCAATAAAATGGACATTACGGGGATAAACAAGAGGCAGCAGCAGCAGTAGCAGAGGTGAATGTTGAGCACGTAGCACTCTCTATCACACAGTGTTCCAGGGTTCACTGACTCGGCACTGTTCCGCCGCGGCAATATAGAGAGAGCCACTCGCAGACAAACATCTTATTGAGAAAGCTCCAATGGCCAGTGGTGAGTGTGTGCACGGAGAGAGGTCTGCCAAAGCGAGCAGAAACACAAGTATGTGGGAGATAGTTTGAGTTACAGAGGCACTTTATGGAGTTGGGATGGCTTTGTGTTTGAGCTAAGAAACAATCTGAACTAGTTGTGTCTGTGAAATTGAATTAACAATAGAAAGAGTGTATGTAATACACTAGTAATATCAATCTACTTTGTATGCTTTGCTCTTACGAGCCAGAAGGTCGTGGGTTCAAGCCCCGCTCAGGACTTTCACCATCGACTCCCACTGACTATTGTTGTTGTGTCCTTGGCAAGACACTTAGCCTCTGGGAACACCAGCCACAGTGGGGCGGCTGCGGCTGTAAAGTGCCAAACTGCCGTTGTGTCCTTAGGCAAGACACTTCACCCCCATTGCCTAGAATGAGTCTGGTGTGTGTGTGAATGGTTGGTGGTGGTCGGAGGGGCCGATGGCGCATACTGGTTGCCTCGCTTCTGTCAGTGTGCCCCAGGG